CGTTTTCTCACCTTCAGTTGAAAAGTTGCATTGACTTTGACTTCCGTGCGTTGCAAAAACTGCGTTGCAAAAACAATTGTTTTCCTTAAAGTAGAGGTCGTAAGATTGAATTGGGTGGACTCTTTAAAAGGATCAATCCACAGGATTCTAATAACTAGGCTGTTGAGAAAATGACTGCCCCGGAGCCCCTTCCCCCGCCCAGTGCTACGTAAAGCATAAGCTTTAAAACGTACCACCTTGCCGCTCGCTGAAGAACAATTGAGACTCGGCATCTCCACATCTATCTGCAGTGCTGTGTCTGTTGAATCTAGTCATAAAAATTGGGAGCTTGTACTTTTGTCTTTAAAAAGATATGTGGCTGGGCGCGCTGGTGGCTCATATCTGTCATCCTAGCTACTCAGGAGGCTGAGGTCTGAGGATCACGGTTCAAAGCCAGCCTGAGCAGGAAGGTCTGTGAGACTCTTCTCTCCAATGAACTAGCAGAAAACCAGAAGTGGTGCTGTGGCTCAATGTGGTAGAATGCTAGCCTTGAACTGAAGAGCTCAGGGACAGAGGTCAAGCCCCACAACCAACCAAAAAAAAAATGTGTGTGTGTGTGTGTGTACATTAAGTCCTTCGTATGCAGTGTGTTGTGTGTATAGACATTAAGTACTTTATATGCAGTGTGTGTGTGTGTGTGTGTGTGTGTGTGTATAGACATTAAGTACTTGGTATGCAGTGTATTTTGGAAAAGTGTGAACTTGGAACAGATCAGAGACTTAGAAACATGCGAAGACCAATTCTTGGCAAGGAGGGGGAGAAGCACGGTCCTGAGGAGAGAGCCAGCAGTGCTTTTCGGCCCTGCCAGACCCTCACCCGTGCCCTTTTCCAGCCGTGGGCCCCTGAGCGTGGCTTGGCTGCATGCTTTCCCTGCCCGCCATGAAGCAGCACCCTTCCAGGGTCAGAGGAAACTCATGGAGTCCAGGGGGAGGAATCGTCGCTGGCCTGCGGATAGCAACCTTTCAGGGGAGGCTAAGGAGTTAGCTAAAGAGATTGAGGGAGTGCGAGGAGACAGGCTACTTAGGCAAAGGAAAGTGTTCTCTATTCCCCTCCACATCCAGGCCAAGGGTCGCTTTTCTTCCTGTGCTTGCAACACGGCCCATCAGATCTTCCCTGCACTGGGCTCTGCCAGCTGTGAACTGTCTCCTTCAACCTCATCTCTGACTGGCTCTGTGCCTAAGGAACAGGGGAGAGACCAGGGGCCCAGCTACACCTGAAATTATGCAAGAGATCAGCACATGGACTTGGGTTTCACGAGTCATCTTCCTTTGTCCCCATGTCTCCTGACACACGCCTGTCTCAGAGCTCTTCCTGCAACCACGGAGCTCCAGCCTGCCCCTGGCTCAGCCAGTGCCCCAGTACGGATGGCAAGTCAGGCTCCACACGCGCCCTGTAGTACCCAGGACCCACCAAGTGGGGAGATTAGCTTTGCAATGTTATCTGAGCCTCCTTGAAATCAGCATTTTAGCCTTGCAGGCTGCTGCTGCTGCTGCTGAGCGAATGTAATAGGTAGATGCAGACAAGAGTTATTTTGAGGGCCATAATTTGGTTGCGTTCTCTCAGGCGATCAAAGATTGTTTAACACCAGAAACAGCTGACTAGAACAGCTGTTCAAACAGCGCTTTGTGTGGAGAATGAGGACAAGGTTCGGTGTTTTGACAACTCTTCCAGGGCTGTGAGTAATAAGACTTCTAAGAAAATCCTGATTGCTGCTTAAAAATGGTTGTTTTTTTTCTCTAGAATTTAGGAAGATTTTAGGAGATTTTTCCATCCTCTAGTATTCAGTGTGGATAGAGGATCGATATAGCAGGAGTATTTTCGCTTTTCTAGAAGTTTTCTTAGAGGGTACTGGGGGTTGGAACTCAGGGCCTTTGCTCTCCCTAGACAGGTGCTGTGCCACCTCCAGCTCTGTTTTGGACTGATTATCTTTAAGACATATGGCCTTACTTCCTGCCTGGGTGTTTACCTGGACAGTGATCAGCCTATTAGTAATTAGAATAATGATGATGGAGATGGACTTTAATGTGGATTGGGTTGGATCTTTTCAGAGACCTTCTGTCTTTTGTGTCATGAGGTACAAAAGTTTTGTGAACCAGAAAGGGTGGAGAAACTGAGGCTCTGGAGGCTATGACAGACCTAGGACCTCTTTGTCCACTGCTGTCCTCAGTCTCCTTGGAGTCTCTGTCATGATTCCTTTAGAGAGGCCTGTGAAACCACATGGATTAATCCTGGATGCAGCTCCCGAACACTGACTGAAATCCATGTGTCTAGAACCAGCATTCGATGATATGTGCAGTCATGTGGGCGTTTTATTTCTTTTAACCCAAGATGCAAGAAGTACTGCTAATACTCATGTTCCCTAAGGAATGTGTCTGCGTTTTTAAGTTAACCTTTCTCCTGAACTTGGATTTGATTTCTAGCAGGAGGAAATTGTTTTCTGCTTTTCCCATTAATATATACTTCTGTCTGTGGATAATCAAAGTAATTAAATGTCTTCACTGAAAATCTGAGTCACAAAAAAACAAGCAAAAAAATTTCACATGCATGTGGCATTATGTGGAAATTTGTCACCTTGGAAAAACTCTGTAACTGCTATACACTTTATTTGTAATATATTTCATATAGGCCAGGGAAAATGAAATCATTTCTACTTTAGCAAAAATGTGTTTGTTCTGGTATGTTCAGGTCAGCTAATGGTCACTGTGGCTTAAAGGTAAGCTAAATAGATGCTTTGCCCTTGCACAAAAACCAAGGACAATACTAGGACTTCCCCGTGGTCTACCTCACTTAGGCCTGCTGATTAATAAGCCTAGTTCAGGAAGACAAGTGCTATTACGATCATGACTGAGAAAAATCAAAGCACTGAGAAAGGAAATGGCCTGTCCACTCCACACAACTGGCCATGACAGAGCTAGACCCAGAACCCAAGCATTTCTGAACACGAACTAACTGGCCCACACATGGCTCTCTCTCACACACCCAGGAGTGCTAGAGCTGGAGGAAGTATGTTTCAGCAGTATTGCGCACATCAAGCTCTCACCCAGTATGGTAACACCATGGCAGGTGCAAATTCCAGTCTGTGATTGCCAAACAGCACATCAAGAGATAACGCACATAGCTGGTGAGGTGGCCCACCCTTGCAATCCCAGCACTCAGGAGGTTGAGGCAGGTGCTCTTGAGTTCAAAACCTAGACTAGAGAAAGAGAGAGAGGGGGAAGGGAGAGTTGGGGGGGGAGGTTCGATGGGGAGGGCAAGGAGGGCCTCATGGCTCACATTTTCAGCAGAACTTGTGGTTTCCAACCCAACAAAGCATGGTGAAAAGCCTGCCCGGGGCAGGGCTGTGCTTGGGGGCTGTGGCTGCAGGGCAGCGATGGCCTGCAGTCTCCTCCTCCAGCATCGTTGTCATCATTGTGACTCAAAGCCACCCTCACAAGCCTACAGTCTTAATACAAGCAAGTGGGAGGAAAGGCAAGGCTTTGCAGGTTCTAATCAGGTTGCCGGCCTCACCGCCACGCCGGCTCCCTCAGCTCTCAGCAATGACCGGGCATAGTGTTCGTTTTGCAGCTGAGAAAACCAAGACTTTGGACACCTAGTTGTACCCTAAGATGACTCAATTGATCTGAGTCCTTCTGAGTTTAAGCATGGTGCTGAGCTGGGTTCGGTGAAGATCTAGACTAATTATGGGCATTGAATTTGTAGGAATTGTTCAAGTAACAAAATACCTGACATAATCAGCTTATAAAGGAAAAGGTTTGTTCAGCTCACTGTCTTAAGAGTTTCTGGTCCATGACTAGCCAGACCCATCCCTCTGGGTCTCTGGTTGGTGTGCCTCATAGCACTGCTCACCCTCAATGCAAAGAAGAGAAGAGAGATGAGATCCCACAATCCCCTACAAGGGCATGCCCCCAGTAACCTAAGGACTTCCCATTAGGCCCCGCCTCCTCAGATTCCCCCCACTTCCAATGGCACCACCCTGAGGTCCAGAGCAGAGTAAGAACCACACACACACACACACACACACACACACACACACACACATCTGCAACCTTGGGAAACAAGGTCGCACTGGCATCGAAGATGAACCAGGGAGGTGAAACAGGCTTTCATTGCAACAATGGTTCTTTGCCATTTGTAACACAGTCTCTAACCATTGCCAGTGGTAACTAGAGCTCGCTTGTGCGCTGATGACGCAGGCTGGGGTCAGGACATGGAGATTTGGTGGGCTGAAGCTGACTTCTTGAGGATGGGAGCCTCAGTGGTTCCCTTATCCCAGGCTAACCAGGCCTTCTGGGAAACCTACTGACATCCTACTACATTCACCGACGCCTGAGCCTCCTGCAAGTGAGGTCAGCTTCTACTTGTGAGAAAGATGAAGCCCAGGGGCTTCATGATGTGTCTTCCACATAATGGACAATTAATGAAAGTTGGGCAGATTAATGACCCGTTAGGTGTCAGGCTGGCACAGTGGATCAGAAGTACCTACTTGCTTCCTGTGACATTGTTCACTTAAATTATTTATTTTGTAGTCTAAAAGGAAAATAATAATACGTATCAGTCCTAAGATGGGGTACGTGAAACCCTACCCTGTCGGTGCTTGGGACTTGCTTTTATCAACAGGGATTTATAAGTACCATCATATGCAGGATTATTTGGTGACTGTCTTAGCATTATGTAGTTTTGAAACCCTCCATTTTCTCTCTGGTGCAGTTTCTCTCAGAGCTTCCTGAAACAAGTAGTATAGCCACACACACACACACACACTCACACACACACACACGCACGCACACACACACACACACACACACACACACCATGCTGTCTGAGACAGAAGCACTGTGAAGGGCTGGGGCAGGGGAGGTGGAGCTGTTGGGAGGTGGAACAGAAGAGGTACAACTCCCTCACCTCTGGGGGTTCAGGGAAGTACTATGGGAATCTTTACCTGTTTCCCTCTACATCAACAGGCCTCCTGGTGGGTACTCTTGACGTCGTATTGGACTCCAGTGCCCGAGTTGCGCCTTACCGAATCCTGTACCAGACTCCTGACTCCCTGGTCTACTGGACCATTGCCTGTGGTAAGTTCTGGCACTTCGTGATGGGTAAACTTAAAGTGTTGGGTCCTGGGTTCAAACCCCATTATCACAGAAAAAAAAAGGAAAATTGGAGTGAATGTTCAGAGACCTCCTGCCCAGTTCCCTCAGTATGCTTGTTAGAGCAGGATATGCCTTACATTTGTGGATATGTACCAATGGGCTATTGTGAAAGAAGGTCCAGAATCTCTTCACATTTCCTCAGTCTTCACTGGTGCCATTTTTCTATCCAGAATCTTCCAGTATACCACATTACAGGTCGTTGTCAAACTGTTTGAGTCTCCTCTTGGCTGCCAGGGTTTGCCAGGCTGCCTTGTTTGGGAAGACCTTGCCCGTTTACAAGGACTCCGGTCAGGTGAATCGTGGGCCGTCCCTCCCCTGGCTTCATCTGGTGTTTCCCTTATTAGCCGGCGGTGAGGGGTTTCATCAGGAAGATGACAGAGATGCAGTGACATTTTCCTGTTAGCAACACAATGGGCCACAGCTGGTCCCACGCATTGCCTGGAAGTGACATCACTTCCCCTCCTCCTCTCGAAGTCTACTCTCTGGAAGAAAGCCACAGGGCCCTGGTCCTCCCCTGGGAATGGGCTGTCTTTCTTTCTTCCTTACTTTCAGGATGGATTATCTTCCTGATGTATTGGGAATTCTTCTGCTTGCTAGATTTGTCTCTCTTCCCTGGAGTCAATCACTTATGCCAGTATAGATTCAGAGACATTTATTTTATGTCCTGTGTTAGGATTCACTGTTCAACTTGTCCCTGCTTTTGGCCTTGGGGGGAAACTCTTTCAGTTGACTTCATTCCATTTTTTACTGATCTCTGTTTGATGGGAAGCGTGGTGCTCGAATCCAAAGATAGCGAGACAGTTAGATGTGGGCCCTGCTCCTGAGGAACTGGAGACTCACGAGGGTACAAGGATGCAGTCATTTACAGCCCACTGCACATGCGTACTGTATGGGTCTGTGACACTGGAGAGTTCCTGGCTGAGTGCAGGATTCTAGGCAGGCCTTCTGTGCTAATGAGGAAAATGGCTGGATGAGATTTCGGGTTTCTGGAAGGCTCAGGTGACCTAGTTATATTCCCTCAAGGACTTAGCAATACTGGAAAATTTAGCATGGTAAACTGTGTCTCTTTTAAAAGTATTCTGGTTAAGAGGCAAGCAATCCCATGGGAAACAATTCTGAATTACTTTTCATTTCCATATTTCTGTTGAAGAAGATGTAGCTTTAGGCTTTTAGGATCACCAAGAGTGACAGTTGGGGACTGGGCAGCAGGAAGGGATGAATGATAAGCAGAGAAGCTGGCACTGTCAAGAACAGGGCTTTACCAGTGTGTCCTAACCCACGGAAAGCAGCACTCCAGCCATCTTGCAGGTTCATTCTGGCGGGGGGGGGGGGGGGGGGGGGGCGGCTGGAAGGAGGAGTGTCACATGGTCTGTGGTGGTGATTGATTGGAACACATCTGAATAGCAATAGGTCATAGCACAGGATGAACACCTGTGAGTCTAGATGGACAGGTTAGTCTAGAATTGTGTGAAATCAGACACTATGGCCAGTCAGTAATGAAACAAAACCAAAGACCATTATCCTGGAGAAGGGAAAGTAAGGAGAAAAATGAGGGAAGGGGTAACAAGTTTGACAAGAAATGTACTTACAAGCCGGGCTCTGGTGGCTCACACCTGTAATCCTGGCTACTCAGGAGGCTGAGATCTGAGGATCACGGTTCAAAGCCAGGCCAGGCAAGAAAGACCAAGAGACTCTTATCTCCAATTAGCCACCAGAAATCCAGAAGTGGTGCTGTCTCAACATGGTAGAGCGCTAGCCTTGAGCTGAAGAGCACAGGGACAGCGCCCAGGCCCAGAGTTCAAGCTCCACAACCAACAAAAGTAAAAAGAAGAAAGAAAGAAATGTACTTATTACATTACTTATGTAACTGTGACCCTCTGTACCTCACCTTGACAAATAAAAAAGAGAGAGAGAGAAATCCTAGAGAGACGGGATTGACCACTTGGCTTGCTGAGGGCATGGACTGGTGCCTTTTCATCTCTTCTCACTCACCTCCCACATTTCCACTGCTTCCTCTGAGTCCAAGGTCTCGCTTTCTAGCCCCCTGGGTTCCCGGGCCCCTGGGCCAGCTGATGGCATGGTATGTGCCTTTGTGACATTTCTTCTTCCTCATCCCCAGCCTCTTTCTTGTTTATTGCTTCGCATTTATTGTGCTGTCTGTTTCTGGGGGCTTTGCCATTCTGCCAAGCAGTTCTTTCTGCAAATATTCTTGTGGGGTAAAACCCAGAGTTACAAAGCTGGGATATTCTTCATGTATCCACCCAGCCAAGATTAACAGTAGACTCTAATTGTGGATGGTGTAATCTATATCCCAAGGAGTTGTGTTTTTATTTTTCCTATAAATAATGCCTGCTCAACGGCATGATCTCATTCTAATAAACCTAGAATGGTTTTAGCTTTCGTGTGCATTGATTACTCATAGAGACAACTCCAGAATTTCCTTACAAGAGACTGCGGAAGTCACAGCCATTACATACTCCCAGTCACCCATTAATTGTTCATTCTTAATGATTTCCAATTTGTGTTTAAAATCCAAATTGCTAGCTCCCTTTCTGAAAAGATTTTTAAACGCGGAAGCTACTGCCATAAAAAAATAGTTCTTCAATATGTTGACCTTTCTGTTGCTAATGTTAATGTTATTTTTTCCATAAAGTCAGTTTTCTGTAGGAAATTATATTGAAAGCTTGTTAATTCTGAGAAATGTTTACTGAAAGGGGAACTTTAGTTAAAAAAAAAAAACCTTAGGTAGTCTAACTCATTGCTCTGTGGAATTCATAGGATTATAAAAACTCATCCTGCATCACACACCTGATACATCATCAGTGAATATAAATTAAAGAGGCTTTAATTCAGTAATTATTATCCAAGCATTGATGTAAAACATTCCTTGTAGACAGCAGGAATCTTAGCTATAAGTCCCAGTTGAGCGATTTGCCTTAGATCTGGGTCACATGGCACCAGGCAGGCAGAATCTTTGGGGCTTGTGTGGTTTGCAGCCACTGTGGTAATCACTTGGTCCTGGACAGTCTGGCCTCACTGTTTGATAGACGCCTCCAGGGTAACACAGCCCTGACCAATGCCTTCACTTGACTTGCTTTTCCTTCTCTTTTCCATTCCATAATCTCATCTAGCCTCTCTGGCCATTCTCTTCTCAAGCTGGAAGACACACCTACCATCATCTTGACCAGTCTCTTACTTTAGTAGGGCCTGGAGGCAGAGTGAATTTCTCCAAGTTCACATTCTATCCTAGCTACTTGTTCCCAGGCTCTGGTCCCATCCCAGGCTGTTCAAGCAAAGTGGTGTTGGTTTTATGATGAACCATTCTTTCAGTCAGTAGCTATCAGAACCTCTGTATAAGTACAGACTTATAATTGGTCTGCTCTTACTGTTCCTCTACAGTGCACAGAAAATGCTGGGTAAGTTACTTGTCTTCTTCAGGAGACAGAAATATATGTGAAAGTTGGTGGGCATTTTTCCTTGTTCTTTCTGGGTCTGTGAACCTCAAGGATTGTTCTAGCAACCTTAGGAATTCAGCAGCATAAAAGAAACACAACATTCATTGTGAAAGTTAGAATATATCAATAAGTAAGAAGAGTAAGAAATGGAAAACCCATTTCCTATCATCAGATTATATCTATGTTTGTATGTGTGATACTCATTACATTACATACTTCCCAAACTTGCACTTAAACGTAATTATATATAGCTTCTATATGCTATATAGACTATATGTAAATTACAGCTGCATTTTATATTTTGAAGCAATGAAAATAAAAAAACATATTTAATAATTTATTGAAAGTACCTCCCACATCAATAAAATTCATTCCTCTAATATGTTTTAATAGACAATACTTTATTGTGTATACAATATCATTCATTTAATCTGTGGTTATTAAAAATCAAGGGCTCTTATTCTCTGACACTTCGGCATCTTGAAGATTCTGAACACAACCTCTGGGCATCCCCTTATCCCCTCAGTTATGGCCTAGGATCAGTTTAGATATATGGAGTCAAAGCATTCGTGTATGTTTAATGTCTCGAGCCCAAGGGCCCTCGAGAGTCAGCCACTTCCCACTGTCCAGGTAGAGGAGGCCTTGGCCCTAAAGCATTTGCCGCTTACTCTGCCTCTGCCCACCTCGATCACACACGTGTCTGGTAGAAGCTGAGTCATGGCTGGCCCTGACAAGGCCCCGCGTGCCCTGCCCTCTACCCTCCTAGATCCTGTGACACTAGATGCAGTATCCAGCACAAGCACCTCAGCTCACCCTCACTGTTCCTCAGTAGATGCAGGTGTGCATGCACGCGCTGCACACCCGGCACACACACACACACACACACACACGTCTGCAGCGTACACATGGTATGCACAGGCATTTAATCAACAAACAGCTACCCCTCCCTGGCATCGCAGTCCCTGAGTGTCCCTGTGGCTGGCACTCTTCCCTTTCCTGTTTTCAAACACAGCCAGGCATCGCTTACTGAGGGGGATGCAACGAGTATTCGGAAATTCTGTCGTGTGAGCATACACCTGTGCTCACACATACCTAGATGGTATGGACAGCCCTAGGCTACACGGCACAGATCACTGCTTAGGGCCCACCCCACTAGGCTATATGGTACAGTCCATTGCTATAGGCTTACCCTTCTAGCCTACATGGTATAGTCCATTACTATACAGCCCCCTAGGCCACAGGGTACTGTCCACTGCTTCCAGGCTACAAACTTGTGCAGCCTATCTCTCTGTATTCAGTCCTATGGCAACTGTCATGCATTCATGAGGTTTATGCATGTCAGCAGAACTGCAAACATAAAGTATTTAATGGTTTAAGACATTAAGATGCTACTATGGAGAGACAGCTTGCCTTGCTGGTTCAAGGTCCTGAGTTCAAGCCCAGGGTCTGCGGGGACTTATTCTAGAGGGTGCAGGAGCGCCTGGGACCCGAGGCTCAGGCTTTGTGACACTGCCAGCCAGCGCAGATGGCGCCGCAGGTGGGGGAGGACACCTGCCGGTGCCCATTCTGGACGGAGCTGTCAGCGTCAGCGCCATGCTCCAGCCCGGGGAGGAAGTGACCTCTACAGCCAAGGAAGGGCACCCCTTTTAATTTTATAGAGAAAAATGTCCAATTTCTGTTTTACTTGTATCGTTTAAGAATGTTTCAAAGTTCTCTGGCAAACTCTCCAAGGTGACTCATTTCATGCCTGTTCCAAAGAGCATTTCCTACCTTCCAAAATATTCGCAGACACTCTTCCTTGTGGCTTTTGTCACATTGGTCTGGTTTTTTTTTTTTACTTGTATCCATTTTATTTCTTCCTCTTCTGGTTCTCCTCCTCCTGCTCCTCCTCCCCCTCTTATTCTTTTGGCAGTACTGAGGCCCAGCTCACGGCTCACGCTTGCCCGCCGACTGCTCTGCTGGCTAATGCCGCCAGTCCTTGCTTGCTTGTAGTTATTTTTCACATAGGGTCTCTCACTTTTTCCCTGGGCCAGCCTTGGACCACAGTCCTCTACCTGTGCCTCCTGGGTAGCTAGGATGGCAAGTGTGTGTCACCATGCCCAGTTTGTTTCTTGATAACTTTTTTTGCCCAGCCTGGTGTCAAAACCGCAATCCTCCCAATGTGCACTTTACAAGTAGCTGGGGTGACAGGTGTAAACCAGTGCACCCAGCTCTGTATCCACTTTATGTGTAGAGAATTTGAGAGAGATTAAACAAAAGGTGAAAAGCCATCCCGCCAGCTGGTGGGAGAGAGACAGAAAGAGGGCTGCCGGTGCTCTGAGGCTAGATGTCCCCGTGGCCGGTGCTCTGAGGGCTAGATGTCCCCGTGGCCGGTGCTCTGAGGGCTAGATGTCCCCGTGGCCGGTACTCTGAGGCTAGATGTCCCCGTGGCACAGTGGTTCAGGGTCTTCCTGTGGCTTTTACACATGAGTGGCCAGGACTCAAACAAGTGATCCGTGGAAAATATCCTCGATGAGCGTCAGTCTGTCCTTCAGTGTTTTGGTGGGCCGCTCTCTGCCAAGAGCTCCGCTGTGTATCTGCGACAGACATCACTTGTTTAAATGTTGTTCATGTGTTTTGCAGTGCCAGGGATGGAACCCGGGCCTTGCACGTGTTGGGCCAAGATCGCTGCTGTCTGAGGCCCCCAGCCTCCGCAGGGAGCTTTGGTGTTTAGGGTTGAAATATGAGGAAGTGAACTTGGCTGCTTGTGATCACCTCTCGGGACGCCCCTCAGGCTTACCTAGCGTTTGTGTGATTTCAGTTCTGTGAGCAAGGCAGATGCCCGATGTCCCCTGCCTTTCTTCCTCTTGACTCAGAGTGAGATCCTGAGAAACCTTGCATGATTGGTGACAAAGAACAGAGAGAAAAGACACTTAAAGGAAGTAATGGGAAGATTTCTTTGGAAATCTAAAGAGATGCCCAAAAGGTGATGAATGAAATGGTGATGTTCTGTAATGGGAAGAGTATTATATTTCACACACATGCATACACATGTTTATTTTACATCTATACATATACATGCAGCACGGGCATGTCGCCGTCTTCCAGGCTGAACTATGGTCCTGGAAGTTCTCAATGCAGTCAGACTCCAGTCAAACAGAACCAGTGGGGTTTCCCTGGGCTTTCCTGTCTTGCTGAGTCTCCTCTGGAGGAGTGACAGCACACAGCCAGAGCTTTTGCAGTGACTCAGTGTCTCTCTGGTGATGTCAGTCTTTGGTGAGGACACTTGGTGGCTAACACAGCCTGTCATGACACCTGACGTTCATGATACGCTTCTCCCTGCAGGTGGGTCCAGGAAGGAAATCACGGAGCACTGGGAATGGCTGGAGCAGAACCTCCTGCAGACGCTCTCCATCTTTGAAAACGAGAATGACATCACGACGTTTGTGAGAGGAAAAATACAGGTAGCGTATTCGAACTCACAGAACTCACATTTACAGGATTCCCGTTTACAATAGACGCAGTGCACGGAAGCGTTATACAGCAAGAACCGTGTGGGACCGGCGTGTGCACCCTTTACCTGCCTGTTAACAACCTCTACTGGAGAGAAACTTCCTCTCCTATACTAAAGCGCATATTTCCTAAGCATAAGGATAGTCTACCAAAAACCCTCAACAGTTGTCAGTTGCATTCCTAAGCATAACTAACATCGTGTCAATTCTCTTCTCCTGGTTTTCTGAGCACCTGGTTATCTGGACATGATGGCTTGTTCCCAGTCCATCCCGTGCCTGTCTGGCCTGGCTTGTGAGGTGGCTGTCCACTTTAGAGTCCTTTTCCTTCTCAGCACTGCTAAGTTTTTAACTATGGAAGAAATTAACCTGCTTCCAGAAGACAAAAAAAGCGTTTCTCCCTTTTGCATTTCTGCTGCCGTATTCCTCTCTAAGGGCCCAGAGCAAATCTCCTTCCTTGTTACCCAGCTGGTCCTCGCTGCTCCGTTTTTGGGGGGGAAATACGCAGGTATGGGTTTCCCATCACCACGTCATTCTTTCCCATAGGGTCTCACGTGTGTCTATGTAAGTGGACAGTCCCAGGGTTTATAATTCCCTTGTGTGGGGATGGGGGGGGGGCGGTGACACCGACAGGGAACCACTTCCCCAGACAGCGTTACGCAGCAGACACAGACAGCGCTTGTGGAATGTTCTCCTTGACTCTCACCGTTCTGCTTCAACTGCTGCTGTCACAAAGAAAGATCTGTAGGAAGTATCTGAAGCTTAAGGGTGAAACGAATGAATGAATGAGTGAGTGAATGAACAATTGTGGCCAGGAACCTTTTTTTTTTTTGCCGTTTGCATTATACCCAGCATGTCTGGTTTAGTTCTCCTGAAACCAGTTAGGAGGCAGGAACTGCTATTAATGCAATTATGGTGAAAGTATTTCATTCACGCACAGATGAACAGTTCCTGCCTTTACAGATTGTCAGGTAATTAGGGGGGACCAACAAGGTTATTTGTTTTGAGCTCTAATTAACTGTGCTACATTACAAATGTAATCATTCACTATTGAGGCAATCATCATTCAAATACCATACGTCTTTCTAGAGGTCTCTGTACATGGATTGTAGTAATCACCCCCGTATACATAAAATTTGTTACTTTGCTTTTTTTCTGCCTCAGCCAGCACTGTCTATACGAGTGTGTGATTTTAGTTGTGACTTCAGTAGCTGAGGATGACTCTGTAATTATCATTATTCTCTTCTACAAGTTGCCTAAGCCTCTCATGGAGCAGGGCTCAGGCACAAACAAAAGTAGTGATCACTTTTGTGCAAAATCACTTTTCCCACATTATATATCCCCTTTGGGATAGGTTATGTAATATATATATATATATATATATATATATATATATTAATAGGTTAAATAGTCAAAATATTTTAATGACCCTCCCTTTTGGGTTTTTTCCTTCGTAGTAATAGGATTTGAACTGAGGGCTTCACCATTAAGTGCTCTGCCACTTGAGCCACCCCTCCAGCCCTTTGGGTTTCTGCAGATTAGATCTTGTTCTTTTTGCCCAGGGAGGGCTTCCCTTTAGCTTGGATTACAAGCATAAGGTACCATGCCCAGCTTGATTCTTGAGATAGGGTCTCATGAACTTTTTCCTAGGCTGGACTTGAACCACTGTGCGTTTCATCTCTTCCTCCAGTTTAGCTGCTGTTGGACAGCAGGCAGCCCTGTGCCCCCACCAAGAAGACAACAAACAGCTAATGGGCTCTCGTGGATTTTGTGGGTGCGTCAGAATCCCTGTGTGGTTATACATGGCATTCTTTCAGGTTCTCGATATTCAGAGGGCTTCAGAATTTAATGGCATACTATTTCACTTTTCTGTCTTGGACTGGTGATGAAGCTGAACATATTTTCATGTTGTCCGAGTTAATTTTCCTCTTTATAAGTTGCCAGTCCACCTCCTGGTGGGTATTTAAGTGACTGTTATCCGCCTACTTATTTGGATTGCGTTACTTCCTCCATGGCTGAGGAGCACCGTTGCCTGTAGAGTCTGAGTCCTGCAGAACCTTTGGAGCTCCGAGCACGGTGACATTCTGCCCTTTGTTGCATCAGCCTGTCTCCTGGCTGAGAATTACAGAAGCTAATAAGATTTGGCGTTCTGGACCTGAACTTTTCCTACAGGTGGGAAAGTTGGCAGTGGAGGCTTTTAATCAGCCTTAAGCTGAAACTAGACGGCCTGTGGATGGTTGAATCTGAGGCCTGGAGCCGGGGTGGTGGCCCAGGCCTGTAAACCCAACTGCCCTGGAATGGAGAGATCGGGAGGATTGTGGTTCCAGGCCAAGTCAGACAAAAAGGGTTCACAGAACCTCGGCTAGACAGAAAAACTGGGTGTGGCGGCACACACCCTTTATCCCAGTGATGTAGGAAGCATCAGCAGGAGGCCCATGGCCCAAGCTAGAGAGAAAAGCAAGACCTCAAAAGTAATCAGAACAACGAGGGCTTGGAAGTGTCGATTAAGCAGCTGAGTGCCTGCTGAGCAAGCCCAGAACATAGACTCCAGTCTCACTAGAAGAAAAAACAAACAACCAAGCTCCATATTGCTTCAATATTTCACTGCACTCAGGGCCTGGGCTGGCTCTGCCACTGTTCCCACGCTCCTTGTCCGTGAGCCCAGGTGGTTTTATAACAGCTGGTGTCCATCCATATCCTCCTCATGCTTAAGATCACTTTCTTTTATCCTTTAAATGAGCATTCTGGAAATGTGGTATTTAGCAGGTTGTTTGACAAAAGAGTGTAGACTTCAATGTTTTTCCACTAAAATCCAAGGTGGGGCATCATTGAGTCGTTACACATTATTCTTCACCTTCTCTCTACTTTGGCTCCCGGTAAGAACTCTGCTACTGCCGTGGGGATGGAGGTTCAGTATCGGCCCTGGGCAGGGGCTTCTTCAGAGTTTGCTGGCCACTAAGACATGGGGGCCCCCTGCTTACCAAATATTAGTGGGCTTTCATCATGTTCCTCTGTGTATTCCTATTTGTATATGTGTGTGTGGGTGTGCGTATGTGTGTGTGAGTGAGTTGGTAGGGGTGTGTGTGTGCATTTGTCTTCCTCTAGCAGTTCTGAGATGCTGCATAGCCTGTGGGTATCTTTGAGATAGATACCACTGAGACAGTAGTTTTCGATCCTTGATCCTTCAGACCCGACTCGTCTGGGCCTCCTGCAGGGTGGGTCCGAGGCCCTGGTATTTCCCGGGCTTGTTTGGTCTGTGACATCACTCCACCACAGCGCCGCTCCTCCTGAGCACGGCCCAGGCCCCGCGCTGGTCGCCTGGCCCCGCGGCCTTCCAGCCCCTCCATGGTGAGGTGTTGGAAATCACCAGATGACAGCGGTCTCATCTCAGGTCTCCCAGGGCAGGGCCCCCCTGTCTCTCAGGATAGCTGCACTGCCATCCTTTGCCATGAAGACCAGGAGTCAACAACTTGCCACTGAACTCCCTGAGAACTGCCAAGCCTGTTAACAGTTGGTTTTTAATGGAAATCCCCAACTCTGAATCACATGACGCCAGCTGAAACGCAGGCCTTTAGATGCACAGCGAATTTCCCTCTAAGAATGCTTGTTAGGTGCTAGATACTGAAACATATTCAAGACACTAGCATGAGCCAGGCACCCGTGGCTCATGTCTGTAATCCCAGCTACTCTGGAGGCTGAGACCTGAGAACCTCCATTTGAAGTCAGCCTGTGCAGACAGATCTGAAGAGACTCACATCTCCAGTTAGCCAGCAAAAAAGCCAGAAGCAGAGACGTGACTCGAGGGGGTAGAGCATGAGAAAAAAAATCCAAGTGAGGAGTAAGAAGAGTTCAAGCCCCAGTACTGAGACACGTGTGCACACATGCGCGTGCACACGCATGCGCACACACACGCACGCACACACACACACACACACACACACACAGTCCTATTTTCTGGAATTTGCTTGAGGGTAGAAGGCCATATAAACAACATTTTCCACCAGCACAGAAATAAGAGCGTGGAAGTACAGATGCTCATTGAGGCTGCTGATTGTCGCAGGCAGAGGCTGATGTGGTTCCGTGGAGAGGAGGCATGCGCTCCTTTGACCCTGCTCGTCTGTGGGAGCTGAGTGGGAATGCTGTCCTCAGATCTCTGCTGTAGAAAGGGGCTGTACAGGGTCCGAGAGTGGAAAGAATCTTGACAGGAGGCCAAGCAGGAAGTGGCTGCCATGATTGATGGGCTGTGCAGAGGCCTGAGTGTCCGGCTAGGAGAGTAGCTTGAAGGCTGGTTGTGTGAACAGAGCAACTCCACTGGGCCCTTAGAGCTGGTGTTCATATTTTTATGTTTTAAGTAGCAAATAATCGTGATGGGGGTTAGAGCAGACTGATTCTGCCACTCCTCATTTTCCCAACTGCTGGCAGTGACACAGGAAGGTGTGGCAGGGAGAGAAAATTCATCAAATAGTCTCAGGACATAATGCGGAGAATCAGCGAAAAGGAGCATGGTTAGGAGAAGGTTCACAAGGAGGTGTGAATTAGCTCAACCAGACTTTGGGGCTTAGTATTCAGACAGAAAAGATTCTCCGTCTAGATATTAAGCCTCCAAAGTGGCAGGATCACAGGCAAAAGGTAGGAAAGTTCAGAAATGACAGGCTCAGAGGGAGTCTCACCCAGGCCATGGTCCTCTGTAGTGCAAAGGTGACAGAGTTGGTTGGATCCAAAATATTCATGATCTAGAATCTTGGACTGGTAGAAGTAAGAATCCACATGGATTTTTTTTTTTTTTTTGTCGGTTGTGGGGCTTGAACTCTGGGCCTGGGTGCTGTCCCTCAGCGCCTCAGCTCAAAGCAAGCACTCTACCATTTGAGCCACAGCACCACTTCCTGTTTTCTGGTGGTCAATTGGAGATAAGAGTTTCACAGATTTTCCTTGCCCCAGGCTGGCTTTGAACTGAGATCTTCAGATCTCAGCCTCCTGAGTAGCTAGGATTACAGGTGTGAGCCACCCATGCCTGTCTGAATTCATCATGTCATCTACAAATTTCTGACCTTAGAGATGATTGCTTTCTTTCCAAGATGCACAGCTCGGATCCCGTTAACACAGTTGTGTGATCGCATTTTATCCCTGACTAGGGCATCATAGCAGAATACAACAAAATCAATGATGTGAAGGAAGACGATGACACGGAGAAGTTTAAGGAAGCCATCGTGAAATTCCACCGGCTGTTTGGGATGCCTGAAGAAGAGAAACTTGTCAACTATTACTCTTGCAGCTACTGGAAGGGGAAGGTCCCCCGGCAGGGCTGGATGTACCTCAGCATTAACCACCTGTGCTTCTATTCTTTCCTGATGGGAAGGGAAGGTAAGCCACCCAGAATTGCCAGGAGAGGCTCTGTGAAGGCTGCCTCGGCCTTCCCAGAATTGCCAGGAGAGGCTCTGTGAAGGCTGCCTCGGCCTTCCCTGAATTGCCAAGAGAGGCTCTGTGAAGGCTGCCTCGGCCTTCCCTGAATTGCCAGGAGAGGCTCTTTGAAGGCTGCCTCGGCCTTCCCAGAATTGCCAGGAGAGGCTCTGTGAAGGCTGCCTCGGCCTTCCCTGGATCCCTAAACCAGATCAAAACAATCAACCATGCATGGTAGGTATAACTGAGTCCCTGCTACTGTTTAACCAGTGCATTTCGTCCAGCATTTGTAAAGAAAATGATCACTAGGGAAGATTATTCAGATTCAGCTTACCCGATGGTAAAGTAAGCCTATTATCCTCACTACTCAGGAGGCTGAGACCTGAGGATTGTGGTTGAAGCCAGTCAAACCAGACAAGTCTGTTGAGACACTGATCTCTAGTTAACCACCAAAAAGCTGGAAGTAGAGGTGTGACTCAAGTGGTAGAGTGCCAGCAAAAAAGTTGAGTGAGAGCATAAGACCCTGAGTTTAAGCCTCTAGTATCTAAACAAAAGGAAAAAGAGAAAAGACTTACTGAAGGTTTAATTGACTTAGTAGCTGTGTAGCCATGTAGTCATTCTGATCACAGAATACGCATTTCAGTTTTGTCTCTCAAAACCAATGAAGGGCTGAGGTCAGACACATGAGGAGTTGGCTGGGACTGGGGGCTTGGGTGGTGAGATGGTAGGATCTAAAAGGTCTCTGGGAGCCAGGTGCTCACCAGCCTCTCCCTGTGCTCAGCCAAGCTGGTGGTCCGGTGGGTGGACATCACACAGCTGGAGAAGAATGCCACACTGCTTCTGCCCGATGTGATCAAGGTGAGCACCCGGTCCAGCGAGCACTTCTTCTCCGTGTTCCTCAACATCAACGAGACGTTCAAGCTCATGGAGCAGCTTGCCAACATAGCCATGAGGCAGCTCCTAGACAACGAGGGCTTTGAGCAGGACCGCTCCCTGCCCAAGCTGAAGAAGAAGTCTCCCAAGAAGGTGTCTGCACTAAAACGGTGAGTGTCAGAGACGTGGCGTCCTACACACCTTCCACGAGCAGGGCACCACCCACGCGAGCATTCCCACTAAGCTTATCTGAACAGCCTCCAGCTTTCCTGGGTACAGATAGAAGGTTGATATCATAAGAAAAGGTGTCATCTTAAAACGACGTGTTGTGGAGCCTGCAACGTGTGGTTGCGGGCTGGTGAGGATGGTGATGGGTTCATAAGTAGTGAGGAGGGGAGCGTACGATCCCCCTTTCTCTGCGCTGTGAAGCCGGGACTAGCCCTCATGTGGCTGGGCTGTGTGAAGCCTGTGAGAAGAGGTGTGAATGGGAAAAAAAAAGAAGAGTCCCAGGAAAAGCACTGAAGTCCGCAGAAGACCTAGACGCTACTGGAAAGCAGAGTCGTCTAAGCGGTGGACTGCTCCAGGTCTCTTCACGCACTTTGTCATCTATTTAGGGTGGAGGTGATACCTGACAGGCTGGCGTGGCTGCTGCCTGCTCACTCGGTCCCTGAGCGGCTCTGGACAGGCAATAACCTCTTTAGAACTGATTGCGTACGTAGGAAGATAATGCGTTGCCTTGTTCCCAGTCTAGTCTTCTCAAGATGCTCTGTATGTACATCTTGTCTCATTGTCTTTGCTTTGAGGAAGAGCCTCTCTACTCACCCAGGTTAGCCTTGAACTCGTGATCCTCCTGGCTCAGCCTCCTGGGTGCTAGAATTACAGGTGGAGTACTGGCACCTGGCTTGGGAATGTTTTATTGAGACTCGTGGGGCTTGAATTCAGGGCCTGGGTGCTGTCCCTGAGCTCCTTTTGTGCTCAAGGCTAGCGCTCTCCCACTTGAGCCACAGCGCCACTTCCAGTTTTCTGATGGTTCATTGGAGATAAGAGTTTCACAGACTTTCCTGTGTGGGCCGGCTTTGACCACAATCCTCAGATCTCAGCCTCCTGAGGATTACAGGCGTGAGCCACCAGTGCCCGGCTTTGGGAATGTGTTTTAACCAGAAATGTCTTGAATCATACATGTTGCAGATATTAATTGGAAAATAGCTACACAACAGACATAAATATATTAAAATCATCTCACTGTGCTTTCAGATTTTTAGGTTGGCGTTAACACCAGTGTAAATTAAGCAGGGGAGAAAGAGGAGACTAGAAAGATGGAGAAGGGTATGGTGGGCTGGGTAGATCATAAGCACTGCCTTCCAGAGATCTGGATGCCCGGGCCAAGAGTGAGCGGTACCGTGCCCTGTTCCGGCTGCCCAAAGATGAGAAGTTAGACGGCCACACTGACTGCACCCTCTGGACGCCGTTTAACAAAATGCACATTCTGGGCCAGATGTTCGTCTCCACAAACTACATCTGCTTCACCAGCAAGGAGGAGAACCTGTGCAGCCTCATCATCCCGCTCCGAGAGGTGAGTCCCGGAGCCCCATGGACGGTAGCGGGGTTCCAGTCATAATAGTTGTCTTTGTGGATCAGGAGTGTGGGTTTTTGTCGGGGGGGAGGGGGTTGTTGTTGGTTTAGTTTGGTTTGGTTTCTTTGTGCCAGTCCTGAGACTTGAACTCAGGGTCTGAGCACTCGGTGCGGTCCTTGAGCTGTTTTTTGCTCAAGGCTGGTACTCTACTACTTTCCGCTACAACTACACTTCTGGTTTTCTGGTGGCTAATTGGAGATAAGATTCTCACACACTTTCCTGCCCACGTTGGTTTTGAACCGTGATCCTCAGATCTCAGCCTCCCAAGTAGTTAAGATGACCTGGGCCTGGACTGGGCATGTTTTTAACCCAGAAATGAACTGATTCCTCAGTAAACCCTTGCAGCCCTTTTGTTTGTCCTCACAGCTATGACTGTAGACTTGGAGCATCTCCTCTTCGTCTTATCAGTGTTAGGACTCAGAAGTTATGAGGCGTGAGGTCAGGGCTGAGTGCTTTGGAGAGAGAACTGTGTGTCCCAGCACCTAAGAGGAAAGGGCATGACAAGCCACTCAGGAAGAACCTTCTGGCCCTGCTGCCCGCCGCCTCTGCGTCTGCTTCAGTAAGCCCTCGGGGATGGAGAGGTAGATGGTTCCCAGTCTCAGTCTGCTCGCTGTGTTCTCCTGGTAGGGCTGAGACCATTCCGTCATCTTTCAGGATCAATGGGAAGAAGGCCAATATGTAGCAGTCTTCAGAACTGAGCATGTTAAACTGGGTGCTGGTGGTTCATGCCTGTACTCCCAGCCAGTCAAGAGGCCGAGGTCTGAAGATCATAGTTCAGGGCCAGCCTGGCAGGAAGAAAAATCTATAAGACTCCAACTCTAATTAACCAATAAAAATAACTGGGCTGGAAGTGTGGCTTAAATGGTAGCGTGCCAGCTCTGAGCGACAACCAAGCCGAGAGTGGGAGGTTCTGCGAAATGCTTGCTTTGAGAAAGCAAGAAAATAGTTTTAGTGCATTGGTCCTTGCTGCTTCCGTTGATGAAAGTCCTATTTATAAACCATCTGTATCTGTCTTCAGTTCAGAGCAGATGCTACTTTTCTTCTTTACTCCCACTGCAATGGACTTCATTCGGTGTGTGTGTGCGCGCACGCACACACACACACACACACACACACAGAGCTAGTGCAGATAGGGTTGCAGGCTCACATCATGTCTGCAGGAAAACGGACCCTTGAAAACTCTGGATGGAAAATCCCTGGAGTCTAAGTGAGACCCTGGACAGATTGGTGGGATTTTGAAAGCCATGCTAACATTAAGCTTAGTTAAAGGAACCAGCGTCGTGAATCATTTTTCTATTTCTGGGTGAGATAGCAGCTCAGAGTCTTCTCTTCTATGGCTCCATGAAACATTAACGAAAAGCAAAGAACTCGTATGGCGGTTTTCAGGTCTGGGCACTATCGACATTTGGGGCTGGGGTTGTTGGCTGGGGACTGTCCGGCGCCCTCTAGGACAGCTAGCCTCCTGGCTTCAGCTACTTCATGGTTGTCACCTTGACTGTTATAGTGACAGCCCCAAACACATGCAGACGTTACAGAATTTCTCCAGGACTGAAACTGGGGACAGAGCCACCCCCAGCACAGAGCCACTGATTGAGAAAAAGACCAGAAGGTAATGATAGTTCCTGGCCCAAAGTCCAGCTCGATTTGTTGTAAGCTGTTTTATTTTATGGGAACAGAATCAAAGAGTCTCTGTCCAACAGAGTCAGATACAGGCTGTCCCCCCCAGAGGGACCAGAGCACCGAGTCCGTCCTCGGCGCTGCGCCTGGGCCCCCCCTTCCCGACCCGCACGCTCTGTCTCTCTCATGTCTCAGGTGACCATCGTGGAAAAGGCCGACAGCTCCAGTGTGCTCCCCAGCCCGCTGTCCATCAGCACCAGGAACAGGATGACCTTCCTCTTCGCCAACTTGAAAGACAGAGACTTCCTGGTGCAGAGGATCTCAGATTTCCTGCAGCAGACCACGTCCAGGATATACTTGGACAGAGAGTTTGTGGGAAGCTACTACAGTTCCGACGACGAGGTATGCGGAAGGCAGTGGCGACGGTGTCTTAGTCTCTTCCCGAGAGAGTTCCTTTCCCTTTGTCCTTTGATTTGATTGTGAAGCTTTGCAGCTGAGTGAGCATAAACCATTCCCCTGAGGCCCGGAGAGCCGGATCTCAACACAATCTCATTTAAATTTCAATGAGTTTGTATTTGAAATGATAGAGTGAGGGGAACCTTTGGGATCATCTGGTCTAAGCCTCTGTCTTACAGTTGAAGATATCATTAAATGACTTGTCCTGACCATATAGCAGATGACTCTGGTCTCTAGAGTGCCGTTGGCAGCGTCTCTCTAATTTCAAATCCAGCGCTGCGATGTTGAGTTTTCAATGATAAAATACATATTAGGTCCCTGTTAAGTCAAACCTGGAACCCGCATGCGGGACTCTGGGAGCACTGAGAAGGCGCACAGCTCACTGACACGACGTGGCGTACCTGGTCCATGTAGGCAAGCATTTTGAAGGCAGCAGAAACTAGAGAAGTTGGACGGTCCCAAGAGTTCCTGATTCAGCAGTGGCGTGCTTTGCATATACGCAAATCACAGAGACGAATAGCCAACCACTTTGTTGCAGAAATGCACCCACAGTAATCTACTTTGAATATTAAAATAATGTCACCTGGGCCCGTGGCCCACACCACTGCCGAATCATCTCTGACAATAGTCTCCAGCTCCTAACTAGCTGTGCTTCTCCTGGTCCTTCACATTGCCAGACCACGTGGGAGCGTGTGGCGTAGCTGTGGATGGCGCTTGGCCACCAGGGGTGGAGTTCTGTTGCCCAGACTCTTCTAAACAGCGGCCTCTCCTGTGTGCCCGCAGGTGTACTCTCGGCCCCGCAGCCTTGTATCCTCCAGCCCCCAGAGAAGCACCAGCTCCGACACAGACGGTGAGCGCCCTTTCAACCTAAATGGCAACAGCGTCCCTACAGCCACACAAACGCTGATGACCATGTACCGGCGCCGGTCTCCTGAGGAGTTCAACCCCAAGCTGGTGGGTTCTTCTTGATCTTCCCTGAGGTTTTCTATAGTAGCACAAAACCATGTGAGTGCAAATATTTGTTCATTTGTTTATTTATGTTACCTAACTGGGGCTTTTTCTGCTCAAGACTGGCACTTTACCATTTGAGCCATACCTCTCCTTCTGGATTTTTTTTGCTGGTTAAATGGAGATAAGAGCCTCATGGACTTTTCTGCCAAGGCTAACCATGGTCCTTAGATGTCAGCTCACGATTCTCAGCAATTAGCTTCCTGAGTAGTGAGAATTGTAAGTCCGAGTCTCCAGTGCCCAGCTTTGAGAATATTTAAATAGTAATAAATCCATGAATGGCTATAAAAGTGTTTCTGATGGAGATGTATTTCCTTAAAAAAAAAGGGAAGTGTTTCTGATGGAGATGTATTTCCTTAAAAAAAGGAAGTAATCTTATTTTGTTTGTTTATTTATTTATTTTGTTGGTCGTGGGGCTTGAACTCAGGGCTTGGGTACTCTCCCTGACCTATTTTGCACAAGGCTAGCACTCTACCACTTGGAGCCACAGTGCCACTTCTGGTTTTCTGGTGGTTCCTTAGAGATAAGAATCTCACAAACTGTGCAGCCCTGGCTGGATTTGAACTACAAGCCTCAGATCTCAGCTTCCTGAGTAGCTAGGATTACAGACGTGAGTCACCAGCGCCCGGCTTGGGGAAGTAATTTTTATCTAAGTAGATCATTGGGTTTTAGAATGACTTTATGGAAGGGGACAAGAGTTACAAAGGGGGTTTGGGTAACTTCTTGGTCTTTATTGAAGTTTTAACTAGTTGAGAAATCAATCCACAAGTAAGGACAGAATTTCTCAGCCCACATTTCAGAAGCATTATTTCACTCTTACCTGGGGCTGTGGACATAAACCACAAATTTGATTGGCCTTTGACTGTCTGCTCTCCAGTAAGCATCATCGCATGACCCAGGCGATAAGCATGAGAAATCTGAACTCTGTTTGCATGAGTTCTGTCCGGAGCCCTGTTCTCCCTTCCCCAGGGAGGTGGTCCTGGCCTTCTGTCCGCATTGCTTGTGTTTCACTGTGTCTTGCAGGCCAGAGAGTTTCTGAAAGAACAGGCCTGGAAGATTCACTTTGCAGAGTATGGACAGGGGGTCTGCATGTACCGCACAGAGAAAACACGGGGGCTGGTGCTGAAGGGCATCCCAGAGAGTATGCGCGGGGAGCTGTGGCTGCTGCTGTCAGGTATGCGGTCGGCTTCCTTCACTCCACACACTCAGAGCAAAGGTCAGCGGGTCCCAAGCTCTGCAGACAGAGCCTCAGTAAGAGAGTGCGTGCGTGCAGTGAGTTATCATCAGGGGAGTTTATTGCTGACCTCACTGAGTGCCCATTGCCAGTCTTCATTGGACGGGGGAGATGTGAGGAAATGGAGGTACAGGAGGTACAGAACCTTGTCCTTGATGGTTGCTTTTTGGTCTGAGGTCTCTGGTCCACCCCAGAGTGGTGTAGATGCCGTTACCCCGTGAACATTTGGACAGTAGTTCCTCCTGACCTTAGTGGATCCATTCCTACACCTCAGATGAAGTGCCTGAAACCACGGATAATACTGAACCCTGTATATTCCAGTATTCCAATGCTAATATTGGGTCTTGAACTCAAGGCCTAGGCACTGTCCTTTAGCTTTTTCACTCAAGGCTAGAGCTCTACTACTTGGTCTTATAGACTTTCCTTCCCAGGGCTGGCTTCAAACTATGAGCCACAGATCTCAGCCTAATGAGTAGCTAGGATTATAGGCATGAGCTACTGGTACCTGGCAGGTTTTTCTTAAACATACATAAATACTACAATAGAGTTTATAAATTAGACATCCTAAGAGGCTAACAAACAATAACTCATAGTAAAACACTACTAGCAACATACTGTAATCGTTATTTAAAATGTCTGAATTATTTATTTCTGGAATTTTCCATCATAGCATTTCAGTCCTGTAGTCTATTCCACCACTTCTGGCCATTCCAAAACATCTAGTGTATCACAAGGGTCTTTTATCCTCTAAAGCACAGCTTCCCTCTGGACATTGCCAGCGTGGCTTTAACATATAAATCACCTGAACACCCTGCTTGGAGGTCTGAAATTTAAACATTTTAAATAAGCTTAAGTGAATAATAGTCCAACACAGGAATCATTCTTAAATCCCTTTACTTAAAAATGATATTAATGATGAAAAATAGTTACCAGGCTTATCGGGAAGCCTTAAACAAAACCTTGGCAGCTCTTTTCTAAAAGTATATATAAATGGTAAAGTTGACAGTAATGAGATTACATCTCATTATGTTGGGGGGGGGTAAATCTGAAAAAATAATGGTTTTTACCTATTTCATGGAGACCTGATTTAATTTCTCTTCATTTACTCATCCTGTTTTTCATTTTCCCAAGTCAACCAGCCAAGTCTCCTCATTTAGAAGCCCAAATCTGAGTCAAATTATCTGTAATTACAAATCAAGCCCAGGCAGATCATTAGTCTACAAAGTCTTCCCTTGTCTTCCTTTGATGAGCCGGTCACCTTGTCAACCAGATTCTCATCACCGGCAGTAAATGCAAAAGTTCATTCCGTCCTCCTGACTCAAAGGAGAAGTTATTCATGGTTACAGGCAGGATGAGAGACCGGGACGCAGAGGCTCGCCACCGCCCGGCTGCCAGGGCTGGCACACGCACGGGTAGCCAGTGCACCTTTCCCAGCGGGGGCCCATGCACCATCCGAAGCCCACCCTGCCTGAGCCCCATTTCCATTCACTCAGCAGTGGGGTTCACACCAAAAGCAGCTTGTCCATCAGAAGAGCCTTGGTCCTGGTCTACAGCCTGGACTCAGTGTACCCTCGGAGGTAAAGGTTGACAGGCCCCTGAGAGACACCAGCCAAAGCCAACGGTCTGGTGCTGACTGCCAGGCAAGGACTGGTCAGGCTGGTTCTCCATCAACGCTGGGGACAAGCGCGGGCTGGCCCCGTGGGCGGGGCATCTGGCTTTCCAGAGGATGGAGTGCCCACCCTGCCATTCTGCACGACACTCACCTTTGTTTATTCTTTTGTATAAAAGCTGTATTCAAAATAGCTCACAGTTCACCAAAGTGTTGATTCACAGAACGATGCAGTGACCAACACAATTAACTTTTGTAAATGTTGATCATCCTTGTAAAGGCGATGCGCAGAGGGTTCGGATGTTGTCCACCTTCACCCCTCCCCTCGCGCTCTCCCAGCTCCTCCCCCACCCCCACCCACAAGCTGTATCGTTCCCGTTCAGCCGTGAGGACCACTGCTGTGTTTGTTCACCCTTTGTCCCTCCATTTCTGTGTTCCCCCTTGCCCTCCCCAAGACAGATAAACAAGACAAAAAGAAAACAAAAACAACAATGAAGAAAAACACTTCAGTTTCGGCACAATTAAACTTTAAGACATTGTCGCCAGCCAGCACCACAGACAGTCATGTTTCTTACCGGTCATTCGCCCTTTCTCCGCCACACTCTCCCAACTGTTCAGCCACTTTCTCTGTAGATTTGTCTACATATCAGTGAAATCACACGATGCTAACTTCTTTCACTTAGAATGAGGTCTTCAAAGTTCACTCATGTTGTAGCACATCCATTCATTTTACTTATGTGTCATTTTATTTTGTGTCAGTCCTGGGGCTTGAACTCTGGGCCAGGCGCTCTTCTTGAGCTCCTTGCTCAAGGCTATCACTCTACCACTTTGAGCCACCATGTCCCTTGCGGTTTTCTGGTAGTCAATTGGAGATCAGAGTCTCACAGGGACTTTTCTGCCTGGGCTGGCTTCAAACCTCGATCCTCAGATCTCAGCCTCCTGAGTAGCTAGGATTACAGTCATGAGCCATCAGTGCCTGGCTACATCCATTCATTTTATAGCCAGCAATTACACCATTGTATGAATACTTTACGCTTTTGTTTATCCACTTACAAGTTGAACATTTAAGTTGTTTCTGCTTTTTGAGTACTAGGATTATCATACTGCCAGGAGCTTTCACATACACGGTTTGGGGTGAACACATATGTTCATTTCTATGGGGTGGAGTTTTTGGCTCTACCATATTTAACCTTTAGTAATACTTCCTGGCTGATTTTCGAAGCAGCTACACCACCAAAGAAGTAAGAGATATCATCCCTCTTCCCTTTTATTGGATTTATCCTGGCAGGTGTGAAGTAGCTTTGGATTTAATTTCCTCAAAGGCACTGATGTTTAGAATGTTTTCATGTGTTTCTGCACAGGAATATCTCCTCAGACCTCCGCTCACTGTTAGCTAGCTTTAGTCACTGAGTTGTAAGTTTGAACATATTTTAGACATACGGCCTCACCAAACCTGGCTGCCACTTTTTTCTCCGTTAATGTTGAATCTATTGTGTTCCTCTCAGGTGCCATTAATGAGAAGGCCACCCACCCTGGATACTATGAGGACCTTGTAGAAAAGTCCATGGGGAAATACAACCTTGCCACCGAGGAGATTGAGAGGGACTTACACCGCTCGCTTCCCGAGCACCCGGCCTTCCAGAATGAAATGGGGATAGCTGCTCTAAGGAGAGTCCTCACGGCGTACGCCTTCCGCAACCCCAACATAGGGTATTGTCAGGTAAGCCACACGCGGAGTTTACACGTGAAGAAAATGAGATCGGAGTCTATGTTGTTAGACGGCGGCATGGGCATTGTGGACTAGGCCTCTCCAGAGAGCCCTAGGATGTCCTTCGGTACCCTTGTGTGGCTTGCCATCATCTCTAGACCATGATGCCCCCTGAGAAGCAGCCTCTCCCTGGGTTGAGACTTCTATGCCGATGACAGAGCAGAGTGCAGCTCCCTTTCCAGACCTGTCATTGCCCGAGTACTGACTTAGGGCAGGGCTGGAGGCCACAGGCCCAGTACAGGGCCTTCCTCTGTGGACAGGGGCTGGCTTCCTATTCCTATTCTGTGTCCTTTTGAGCAGCGATGTCCTTGAGCACACAGCGTTTCTGTGCCAAGGTTACATTTTAATACACGTTAAAATAAATGTTTAACTCAGCCTGGCAAAGCAATGTCCCTCACAATACTACCGAAAATCAGTTCTTCTATTGGCAATTTGGAAAACTGCATGGCCTCAGACTCCGTATGATCAGAGAGACCTTCCTTGACCTTCCCACAAAAGCTGAAGGTCGCTTAAGTCCTACATACACACACACACATGTGTGCGCACACACAAAGACACATGCACACACATAATATACACATAACACATGCATGTCCACACATGCACACAAACACATGCACACACATAATACACATATAACACATGCACATCTATGCATGTGCATACACACATACACACAAACACATACGTACCTATAATACACATAACACACTGCATGTCCACACACACATGCACACATACACACAAACACATGCCCATCCATACACATGCACACATGTACAAGTATACACATTCACACACATGTGTGATGCACACATGTACACGCACTCTTCCCCATACCTTATTATCTATCTTTTTGATAGTATTCAATCTAAGCATGCCCCCAGATCAATTGATTAACCCTTGTGTCGTTTTGTTTTCTGTCTGGTGCCAGCATTAAGCCCCATGAGTTTGTTGCCTGCGTGTCCCCTGCCCCCTGCCGCCTAGTCCAGCCTATCACACGTGGAGCCTTGGAATACCTATCTTGACTGAATGCCTGAGGAACTTGACTGTGACCCTAATCACAAACTAGCATCAGCAGGCTCCTTCTTAATCGGAATTTTAATAATGATTTTTCTTAGAGAAGTATTAAGGCTTTTAAGAAAGATTCTGTGAGGCCAAGGGACCTGGCTTGGTCTTGTTTTCTTTTTCTTTTTGTAACTGATATTGCAGAAATCTGACGGGTCCATTGCTGCTTTCTAGAAGATCAGGACAAGTACAGAGCTCCTTCTAATAGAACAGAACTCATATTTATCTTTTGATCTTCCTTTTTTAATTAAGAGGACTCTTTAAGTAGTAGTTCTGAAGGTCTCGATAATATCTTTTAATAAAGTGAGGCTACTTTAGAATTTAAATCGCCATTACTTCCCCGGCTGCTGTTACGTGGAGGGCGCTCCTGGGCGGCCTCCAGCTCTGAAAGCGTCTTTGTTCTCTGCAGAGAGCCTGGAGCCCTGTGTACTTGGTTATGGAAGGCATTCCTGGAAGGTTGTAAAGGAAATAGTTACCTCCCTGAGTGAAGGATTAGGACCATGGAGAGATGTGGCACTCGGGCGGGAGCTTGGCCAAGCAGCCGTGGGGCAGGCTCTTTGAAGCCAGGGCTCTGCCTGTGCATGTTGAGGGCTGCGTGGGTGCCAAGGCCGTGTCGTGGCTGATGGCTCTAAAGGGTCATCAGCCAAACCAAACCCAGGGGAACAGACAGAGCCACGCGGCCCCGAAGGCACCAGCACAGACGAAAACCACAGAGTGACTTCCGAGGTTGCCACTGGCCTGAAGCTCAATTCTCCCTCGTTCCCCTAGGCCATGAACATCGTCACTTCCGTGCTGCTGCTTTATGCCAAAGAGGAGGAAGCGTTCTGGCTGCTGGTGGCCTTGTGTGAGCGCATGCTGCCCGATTACTACAACACCAGAGTCGTAGGTAGGCGGGGCGGTGACTGTCTTGGCAGGAAGATGGTTCTAGAACGGGAGCCTCCAGCCTCCACGGGGCCCCCAGAGGCTCAGAACAGTGAGCAGAGAGGAAGTAGATTGGAGACGGGGAGGCTCTGGGCCCGCCCTCGGGCCCGCGCGCGGCGGGGGCTGAGGCCGTGTGGTTGTGCGCGGCCGCAGGTGCGCTGGTGGACCAGGGCGTCTTCGAGGAGCTGGCGCGAGACTACGTCCCGCAGCTGTACGACTGCATGCAGGACCTGGGTGTCATCTCCACCATCTCCTTGTCCTGGTTCCTCACGCTCTTCCTCAGCGTGATGCCCTTCGAGAGCGCCGTGGTGGTGGTGGACTGCTTCTTCTACGAAGGCATCAAAGTGATCTTCCAGCTGGCCCTGGCGGTGTTGGACGCCAATGTGGACAAGCTGTTGGGTTGCAAGGATGATGGGGAGGCCATGACGGTGCTGGGAAGGTACGGTGCCCGGCCCGCCTGGCAGGACCCCCCCTGGCCTCCTCACCCACCCCTCCGGGGCGCCGGTCCCCGCGGACTCGATGGGAACCTCCGTCCTGAGGACTCAGGTTCACTGCTTTGTCCTCAGGAGTCGAGGGGATTTCATTCTAAAACGCAGCGTTTGCAGAATGACAGGGGGGAGCTCTGGTCCCCTCTCCAGTGATCCCCCCGGTTCGGTTCGTCTCCCCTCAGGTACTTGGACAGCGTGACCAACAAGGACAGCACGCTGCCGCCCATCCCACACCTCCACTCGCTGCTCAGCGACGACGTGGAGCCCTACCCCGCCGTGGACATCTTCAGACTCATCGGGACGTCCTACGAGGTGGGTCTGGCCCCCTGGCCGGGGGGGGTGGTGCTCCCTGAGGCTGCTGAGAGTTCAGCCGCTCCGCCCTTGCTAGCCCGCCCGCAGTCTAATGGTTGGGAGATTCAAGGCTCCAGCAGATGGAGACTCCTGCCTTTCCCCCTCCAAGATGGCGCCTTGAACACCTGCGTGTTGCCCTTGGGAGGAAGACCATGTCTTCACACAGCAGAAGAAAGACTCCACAAAGTCAGAGCCCTCTGGATCTAAATCCCTCCCCAGAGGCCCCACCTCCATACACTATTGCATTGGGGACTAAGTTGGGGAGGGGATAAAAATGCTCAAAGCATCGTTTTACCTGCTGCCTTTCACATTGTGAGAACTGGTCCCCACCAGCTCAGGCTTTCTGTCGGAGCTGTGCCCAACTCGAGGTGAGCAGAGGTCTCGTTTATGCCTGGGCTGGCCTCTAACTCTAATCCTCCCAATCTCAGCCTCCCCAGAGCTAGAGTCACAGTCATGAGTCACTGGCACCTGTTGCTTTCCTACTCCTTGATACTTAGCTCCGTAGACTTATAGAAATGACCCTGCGCTTGCTACCAAGCCCGTCACATTTTCTCCAGGTGTGTGGGGCTCTCAGACTGGAGATCCAGCAGAACTGTGGAGGCCATGAGAGTGAAGCAGTGGGCAGGGCAGAAAGTAGCTCTCGAGCTGAAAGAGCACCAGGCACTGGTGTCTCACATCTGTAATCCTAGCCAGTATCAAGGGGACTGAGATTTGAGGATAAAGTTCAAAGCCAGCCTGCACAGAAAAGCCCATGACATTCTTTTTTTTTAAATTGATCAATTATGGGGCTTGAACTCAGGGCCTAGGCACTGTCCCTGAACCTCTTTGTGCTCAAGGCTAGGGCTCTACCACTAGAGCCACAGCGCCACTTCTGATTTTTGAGTGCTTAATTGGAGTTAGGAGTCTCACGGGGACTTTTCTGCCAGGGCTAACTTCAAACCACCATCCTCAGATCTCAGCCTCCTGAGTAGCTAGGATTACAAGCATGAGCCACCAGCACCTGGCTAACCGGTGAGATTCTTATGTCTAATAAAACCACAAAAAGCTACAAGTACAGGTGTGGCTTCAGTTGGTAGAGCATCAGCCTTAAGTGAAAAAGCCAAATAAGGGCAAGAGGCCCTGAGCTCATGTCCCAGTACTGACCACACACACACACACACACGCACACACGCACACACGCATGCACGCGCTGCACACATACACAGCAACAGAGAGAGTCAGAAATGTGTGCCTTTAACTCATCATGGGGAAGGACTGGTGATTCCATTTTTAATTTTCATTGAGACACCCTGTTTAGTTCCTTTCCACTTAGGAGTCATGTAAATGATCTATAATCATTGTAGAAATTGTAGATAAATCTGAAAGACAAAATGAACTGTATCCTACAAATATTTCACAATATTTCCATCAATTATATATTACTTCTACAGGATACACTTTACAAAAAAAAGATCTTACTAAATACTGCTTTGTCACACACCATATATTTCTTTTTTTGGGGGGGAGGTCCAGTCGTGGGGCCTGAACTCTGGGCCTGGGCGCTGTCCCTCAGCTCTTCAGCTCAAGGCTAGCGCTCTACCACTTGAGCTACAGCACTACTTCCAGCTTTTTTCTTTTTGCTTGTGTGGTGCTGCGGTATCGAACCCAGGGCCTTAGGCATGCAAGGCAAGCGCTCTACCACTGAGCCACCTTCCCAGCTCCCAACCACCATGTAGTTCTTCTAAACCACACCACAAGAAATTCTCTAAGACACTAAGTATTTGAAAGGCATGACTTTAGGAAATGTTTTCGTAGCATGCTTTTTAATGAGTTAGCAAAGCCTGTTTAACTGGTACCATTTTTATTTGGCCATTTAAATTTGGTTCTTTCAAATTTCTATTACAGTATAGCTCCGGGATACCCTTGCACGCACATAGCGCAGCCCCATTGAAGAAGTGCACTTGATGCATGATCTCCAAGCTGGTGGTCCTCACTGTCCAGTTTCCAGAGATTAAGCAGCACAGGTCTGCTGAGCGTGTTGGCAGAGTTTGTAATCCCTGCCCCTGGGAGGTAGAAGTAGGAGAACTGGAAAATGGGCTGCGCTTCCCAAACCCCTCCGAACTACAAAGCAAGACTGGGTCTCAAAAGCCAGACACAAACGAACGAACAAGCAAACGAAAGTCAGCTTTGCCTCACTGCCTTCAACACTGCTCATTATCTCTATGCATGTTGAAAAACACTTGGATAGAACTCTTATCATAAATGGCCAATGATTTTATTTTCTTTCAGTAACAACAACAACAAAAACTGTAAGACTGCAGGCAGTAGTTAATGATATCTGTGGATTCTTTTCCTAAAGACATCTCTTGAAACTTTTTTTTTTTATTCTTGACACTGGCAGACCAGCCTGGGCTGGGGCTGGAGCTTCGCCCATCTGTCATGGGAGAGACTGGATGGAGGCCGGCTCTCCTCTGCTTCCTGTCCAAGCCCTCCATGGCAGGAGACACCAGCAAGGCCTTCCTCTGCCTTCGGGGAAGACAGCCTCTTGTCTGTAGCACTACTTTACCTGGTCTCATCTGGTCTTTGTGGTCTCCACCCTGCCTGCATCCTTAAAAAAGCCAAGTATTAAAAAAAAATGAATTCCCAGGCTCCATTTTAGACCAATTAAATCTGAATCTCTGGCAGGAAGCCCAGGTCTAAGGATTTTTTGCTTTTTTAATTTCCCCCTGAGATTGCAAATGTGCAGTGAGGTCGTGGTTCACTGCCCTCCGGGGGGACTGGTGGAACCCGAGGCCTTTGCAGCCTGGCCCAGGCCAAAGTGTGGCACCTGAGTGTTCAAAGGTGCACACCACCGTCTCCCTGTGCTCCAGGAGGGTGACCCCTGGGACTGGACGGGGGAGGAATTCTGGTCCATCCCAGACCTCCCAGGGCGATGGAGCTTGGTCTGGTACCATATGGAGAGATGAGGACCCCACTTCATAAAGCTCCGGGTTTCTTCTGTGTGTGCCTTGTCAGAGGAGCTTTGCACTTCTGTCAGAATTACACAGAAGTAGAACCACAAAGTGTCAGCCTTCAAATGTGACGTCTAGACTAGGAATCCCCCCTCCACACACATGCACACACACACACACACACACACACACACACACACACACACGCACACGCACAGAGGGCCTCTCGGATTTTGTCTTTGGCAAGAGGTGGTGGCCTTGGGTGTTTCTTTGTGGTCAAGGGACCTGTTCCTATGGGTGTTGTCTGACAAGGGTTGAGTAGGGAGAGGCTGGTAACTTTTTATTTTCCTGACAAGCTCTCCCATTTTTTCCTAGGGCTGGCCTTGGACTGTGATCCACCTATTTACACCTTCCATCTGTTCACCTTCACATCTGTCTGGCTTTTGGGTTGGGGGGGGCAGTTGGGCTGGAATGTTTCTTCTTTACCTCCTGTGTAGCTGGGATGACAAGTGAATCTCAGCCTCCTGAGCATGAGACACCAGCACCCAACTTACTATTCTTTGTCTCAAACAGCCTAATGTAACCCTCCTCCTGCCTGATGAACTATTGGCTGGAGGAAGCCATATTTGACTTTGAAATTCCACTCGGCCCCTGAGATACACGGTGACTTCGGATTATTTATTCTGTGAGACGAGGCGTGTGGTCATGTGACGTCCTTCCTCCTGTGCCAGGAACCTCTCGCCCCGATGGCGCCAGCCAGGCGGCGACCTCGCGCGGCGCTGGGTGCTTTCGCAGACTTGTCTTTTCCTCTCACCAAGTCCCAACCTTGCTCCTTCCAGAAATTCGGAACCATCCGGGCAGATTTGATCGAGCAGATGAGGTTCAAGCAACGGCTAAAAGTGATCCAGACCCTGGAGGACACCACCAAGCGCAACGTGGTGAGGAAAGTCCTTCCTCTGGTCAGCTCGGGGCTACGCGTGCCTCCCCCTCCCGCCCTGCTCGCCCACCGCCCTGCTCACCCACCGCCCTGCTCCAGCCCAGCGACTGGGAGACGGGGGCTCCCACCCTGCTTGCCCACCACCCCGCTCACCCACCGCCCTGCTCCAGCCCAGCGATGGGGAGACGGGGGCCCCCCGGATGCTGAGGCTCTGCAGGTTGTGCAGCTCATTGTGCTACTCCTTCTGTAGGTACGGACCATTGTGACAGAAACGTCCTTCACCATTGACGAGCTGGAGGAACTTTACACGCTCTTCAAGGTGCGCTTCAGAGTAAATCCACGCCTCCCCAAAGGAGTGGAGGTGTTGATTCATTAGCCAATGAGTTCTTGGTTTTTGTTTGAGGTTGTTCAGGGAGAGCAGGAATCCCTGCATGCGTAACTAGTAAGAGGTAGGAATGCAGAATTATAGTCCTTGGCCAGGCATGAGGGTGCATGTCTACAATCCCAGCCAGTCAGCAGGGGGAGACTGAGAGGATTGTGGTATAGGCCAGCATGCGCTACATTCCTGTAATCCCAGCTTCATTGAAGTTATGGGTAGCAGGGTTATGGTCAAAAGCAAGCCTCTGGGAAAAAAATGTGAGCCCTTATTTGAAAATAGAGAATAATAGAGCTAGAGGCCTGGCTCTGGAGATAGAAAGCCCACCTAGCAAGCTTGAGGCCCCACATTCAAACCTCAGTACCGAGAGGGAGAGACAGAGACAGAGAGAGAGGGAGAGGGAGAGAGCAGTACATAGCACAGAAAATAAGCAAATTCTTATCACTAAGTTGTCAATATTTTAGCTCTCTTTCTCTCTACATTGTAGCTATTTTCTTGGACTTAAGAAAAAAAGTGGCTATTACTTTGTAAAGCTCATTAGAACAATGGTTGACAAGTTTAAATTCTTCTAGAAATTCTTGGGACTGTGTGTGTGTGTGTGTGCGTGTGTGTGTGTGTGTGTGCGTGTGTGTGTGTGTGTGCGTGTGTGTGTGTGTGTGTGCGCGCGCGCGCGTGTGTGTGCCAGTACCGAAGCTTTGAACTCAGGCCTGGCTGCTCTCCTTTAGCCTTTCCACTCAAGGCTTGCACCCTACCCCTTGAGCCACATCTCCCCCTTCTGACTTTTTTTTCTGGTTAATTAGAGATAAGAGTCTCATCGACTTTTCTGTCAGAAAAGTCAGGCTGGCTTTGAGCTGTGATCCTCAGACCTCAGCCTCCTGAGTAGCCAGAGTTGCAGGTGTGAGCCACTGGTACCTGGCTTCTTGTAACTTTTAATTTCCTATAACAAGCTGTAAAGGACCCTTAAGATGATGCCAGATGTCAGAGGCTCATGCCTGTAACCCTACCTGCTCAGGATCTGAGGATCACAGTTCAAAGCTACCCCAGGAAGCCAAGTCCATGAGAATCTTTTATCTTCAATAAACTACTCCCCCCAAAAAAGCCAGAAGTGGAGCTGTAACTAAGTGGAGCTGTAACTAGAGCACTGTCCTTGAGCAAAAAGAAGCTCAAGGATAGCACCCAGACCCTGTGCGCCAGCCCCAGGATCCACATAAAAAAGAGAAAAGGTCATGTTGCTAGTATAAGAATAGAGAAGACTAGAAATAAAGCAAGCTTGGTTAAGTTTCTGTAATGTCTGTTTTATAACCGAGTCCCTCTCGTTCTTGGTCTCTGCTAAGAAAGGACTTTGGTAACACAATTCCTGTATGTTTCTTTGTGCAAAAGAATATCTTGTAACTGTCATCCACCTTGTAGGTTAAAATGCTGACAATTGTCAGGGAAAACCATTTAAAAGATGCCTTTGGTACAAGCACCAATTCCATCACAATCTGCAGTTCCCTGTCAGAAATGAATGTGGCTCTTTGGAGCCCTGCAAAGATAGTAAGGGCAAACAGGAAGAAACATCAAGGTCAGGATTGAAGCCTGAAATCAGTGGCAGTGATGGCTGCAGCAAGGCTTTTGGCCTGTCGGCCACTAGAGGGCAGCACGACCATATTCCTGTTTCACTAGTGTCTGCTAAGTTCTCTCTCCTGGTAGGTGTGACAAAAGCATGTATTGAATTGGTAGATACAGTATGAGCCTTGCATCCTTCTGATGAGACCAACAGATGCAAGTCTCTGCTTTGTGGCTCGTTAGCTGTGTGCGAAGGGTCACATTGCTCACAGAGCGCAGTACAGCAGCCCAGCCTCCATTCTACACCGCTGGGACATCTCTGTTGTGTGGCAGCTTGATATCCATGTGTGTGTGTGTGTGTGTGTGTGTGAGAGAGAGAGAGAGAGAGAGAGAGAGAGAGAGAGAGAAAGTACCTACAGGTGTCCACACCTGCAAAGCCTATGAAGTTACCTGCTCCGTGTGAATTTGACTTCCACGCTGCATGCTCGCCAGGGCTCTGCCCACCTGCCACAGATACTGGAAACACCTGTGTGGGGGTGGTCGTCTATCTGGGCCTTTCTGCCTCTCCATCTGTCTCTGTAGGCTTCTGAGACGGGGTGTGCGCCTCTCTCAGTCACATGACTCCTGAGTAAAGAGGCTGCTGCTCTCCAGGGATGGGCTGGGGGTTGTCCGCTGACCTCAGCTCCCTGCGCTCCTCTGTGTAGTGATTTGTGAAGTAGGAAGATGCTGGTAATCACACCTGCAATCCCAGCAACTCAAGAAGCTGAGATCTGAGGATTGTGGTTCGAAGCCAGCCCAGGCAGGAAAGTTTGTGAGATTCTTACCTCCAATGAGCCACCAGAAAGATGGTGGCCTGGTGCCAGTGGCCCCGGCCTGTAATCTTAGCAACTCAGGAGGCTGAGATCTAAGAATCATGGTGCAGAGCCAGCCCCAGCAGGAAAGTCCATGAGACTCCTAGCTCCAATGAACCACCAAAAAGGTGAAGCTGCCGCTGTGGCTCAAGCGGTAGAGCTACTATCCTTGAGCATAAAAAGCTCAGGGACAAGGTGCAGGCCCTGAGTTCAAGCCCCAGGACCGGCACACACACGTCAAAGGAGCACACCCATGTAGGCTGTGTGCTGCGATCTGGGGGATGGGGCCATGGGGAGCTGGGGTAACCGTCCTGTGTGTGCGTTTGCAGGCAGAGCACCTCACCAGCTGCTACTGGGGCGGGAGCAGCCACGCACTGGACCGCCATGACCCCAGCCTGCCCTACTTGGAGCAGTACCGCATCGACGTGGAGCAGTTCAAGGCCATGTTCACCCTGCTCTTCCCCTGGGCCTGCGGCGCTCACTCGGACGTGCTGGCTTCCCGTCTGTTCCAGTTACTGGATGAGAACGGGGATTCCCTCATTAACTTCCGGGAGTTTGTCGCTGGCCTGAGTAAGAGCCCCGTTACGCGTCAGGGGTGGGGAGCGGTTGCCCCCAGATCCTTGGGGCTGCACCGGTGGCAAGGTTAGCTCACGCCATTTCTGTGGGGTCCCCCGTGCCTCATAGAGGGCTCCTGCCACGTTCTCACACGGTGGAAAGATAATCCGGCTCCATCAGACCCCTGTGAGGACGCCAGTCCCCCCGACATTATTCCCCCTCCCCGGGGAGGATGGCCACATGGAGCTGGTGGACACCTCCGACATTCATGCTGCAGCACCACGCCATCTGCTTATTTCATCTCTCTGTAAAACGGGCTGAAGGGAAAGCCGCCGGGTCGTGGCCACTTGCTCAGACGATTACTTTGAGCCAGTCACTAAGCCTCTGCTGTGGACTTGAATGAGAGGCGTAGTGAGTCTGTGTGGGAGCCAGGATGGCGAAGAATTCTGTCTGTCTGCCTGTCTCAAAAGTTGCTCTTTTTTTCTTACCCTTCTGAGATATTAAAGGGAGATTCCTTCTAGAACCCTGTCCAGAGATATAATGATTGGAAATTAACACAGAAGGCAGACAGAATAAGAGAAAGGAAGATGATAGAAACCCACTATGTTACAGGAGAATGTAGAAGGTTCTGGAAAAGCTCGTTCTGTAAGGATGAGCCACCACACACCCTGGCCTGGAGGAGGCGCTGGTTCTGTTCTGTTTGCCTTTGAAGAATCCAACATGGAAGGCAGCTCTGAGCCACCCAGCCATTTCTAAGCCATGGATTCTTTAAGAGCTGGAATAGTCTTACTACAGACCTTTTCTCCTCAGAAAGCACACATGCATGTAAACCCAGAATTTCACTTCTTGGACTTTCTAGAAGAGCTTTCAGTGGGAGAGAATGTCTCTGCTTAGAGCTGGTCCCTGTCCGAGAACACTGGCATAGATCAGAGACAAGGGCTGGCAGGAAGTTGGAAAATCCGGCAATATAGATGTGCCCCTCTTACCCCTTCCAATCTACCTTTGTGACTCTCTCTTCTTGTTCCAAGTTGGGTTCGTCTTTAATCAGGCAGTCTGAGAATATATACTTACAAAGGACTTTTAGATTTCAGGAATAAATATGGAATTTAAAGGGGGGGAAAATAACAGGATTCTTCTGACGCTCTGATCATGTAACGGAGGATAAGTTAGAATAGATTAAAATCAGTCAGGCACTGGTGGCTCACGGCGTAGTGCTAGCTTCTTGGGAAGCTGAGATCCGAGAGTCATGATTCAAAGCCACACCAGACAAGAAAGTCTGTGAGGCTCTCATCTCCCATTAACCACCAGGAAACCAGAAGTGGAGCCGTGGCTCAAAATGGTAGAGTGCTAACCATGAGCACAAAAGCTCGGGAACAGCACCCAGGCCCAGAGTAACCTGATGTGATTCCAAAAATGTGCTTTGATTTTAATTCTGAACTCTCATGTAGGCTAGGAGCCTAGCCACATGACCTTCCTCTTTAAGAACTCAGTATGTTAAGTGCCTGGCTCCGAGCTAAGCACTTGGTACGTATTAACACCGGTATTCCCCATGCCTCATGAGGTCCGGGTGCCCAGATCATGGCTAGAACCTCCCATTATCATTTCACCTTACAGTGGGGGAGCTGAGGTTCAGAGGCTAAGTCGTCATGGCATTGGGGAATCTCTGAGCGTAGCTGGCTGAGCCTCTCCACCACTGAGCTCTGCACCCCTAATACGGCCAGGCAGGGCAATGTCTTGGCAATTGGTAAAAAGCAAACTGCACTCGTGACACATCTGTCACATGTCCTATGTCCTCCTAGGCGCTGCGTGTCATGGGGACCTCACGGAGAAACTCAAACTCCTCTACAAAATGCACGTCCTGCCTGGTAAGCAAAGTGCGCGGCTGGGCACAGGTGCCGTAACCAGGGCGGGGCTTGAATTCTCTGCCTGGCTGGTAGGCAGATCCGGTCAGGGATTGTACTCTAAGGACACGCTGAGTGTGGATAGTTGTATGGCTGAGGGCCTGACTCCACGTGCCCCCAGATCACTCACCTGTCTACGGTAGGAGCTGCGTGGGGAGACAACAGCTCAGCACCTGGGGATGATTCGGTCACGTGTGGGCCACAGGAATTAGGAGAGGAAGGGCGGATGGAGTCCCTGTGTGAGTCCCCAGGGCGCTGATCTCCACGGGGAGGAGCCAGTGGGCAGCGAGGGGAGGGCTTGAGCTCAGGTTTAAGCAAGGCTGGGCTAGATCTAGCAAATACAACAGTGCTAAAGGTGAGGAGAGATCGGCACTCCAAGATGGCCAAACTGGAGACTTGGACGTTGTCCTTGCCGCATGTGGGCCCTAAAGCTGGCTTCCAAAGCATGATTCCAAAGGTTTCCAGAAACTCTGCACTGAAAGGAACAAGAAAAGAGACCCTTTGGTGTGGAGTTGTTCAAAAGGAGGATGGAGGGGAGAGAGGGAGCGGGGGAGAAGAGGAGGAGAGACCCCACTCGGCTCAGGCTGATATGCACCAGGGGACTCGGGCGTGGCCAGCACGCATTTCTGACTGTGTCTTCCTCTTCCGGTCACTTTCTCGCATAGTCCCGGTTTCATTGATATGGAAGTCTTGTTTCCTGCTTTCCCAGAGCCGTCCTTAGATCCGGATGAACCCGATTCTGCTTTTGAGGCCACGCAGTACTTCTTTGAAGACATCACCCCAGAATGCACTCACGGTAGGTGACGTCCCTGCTGAGCAGGCCAGGTCTCCCACGGAGCCAGCGCCTCCAATGTCCATTCCTCAAACAAGCACAGGAGTATGGCTGACCCTTCCAATTTTCTAGCTATTTTGGATACTGCCTTGGTTTCCTAAATCATTTTCCACATCACGAGGGGAGGAATTTCCTGGTGGCACACGGTAGGGGTTGTTCCCTGCTAACATGGCCCCGGCTGGTTTTCAGGACAGAAGGAAGGCTCCCTGTCTGGCACTCTGGCTTCCGCTGGGGTTGCCGATGGAACTCTGGATCGCACTCTTAGAGCTCACAAACTCCAGGGGAATCTGAGGACGTTGCTCCGCTGCCCTGTGCAGTCCCGCGTGTCCTGTAATAACTGGTGTGAAGAAGAAGAAAAGGGAGTTAGTTATAAGTGAGCTCTTTAAGGATCATATGTGGGGTGTATGTACATGGCTCACATCTGGAACCCCGCCACTCAGGAAGCAGAGATGAGGAGGTCCACCAGGAAAAATGCCAGCAACACCCCGTCTCGCCTGATAACGCTGCGGCAGTCATCCCAGGAAAGCCGGAAGCATGAGTAGGAAGGTTCTGATGCAGGTGGCCTGGGCAAAAGGATGTGAGGCGCCACCCGGAAGAGACATGAGGCCCTACTGGGAAGATGGCTAAAGCAAAAAGGGCCAAGGGGGCGTGGCTCAAGTTAAGACCCTTGCCTAGTTAGCCCAAGGCTCTGGGCACTTACCAATAGCAAGACAATTAGCAAGTCGGATTCTTGAAATGCTAAGTTATGAATCTTGAAGAACTTTATAGCATATAACATTACAGTGAACACATTCATTCTGTCAGCATAGATTTTAATACTCCTGAAAGGCCTCTTTTTGAGGGGCTGACAAAAATAATCCTCCTTCTTTGGACAATGCTGGAAGAGGGCCCGGAGGAGAGCACACTGGCCTGGTGAACACGCCATGCTCTACAACGGCTGAAGACTGCAAGGCTTTCTCCCTTTAATTTGTGTGGGTGTGTGTACACACACGTGCGCACTGGAACTTGAACTCGGGGCTTCACACTCTCACAGCAAGGCTGGCTCTCTTCCATTTAGGCCACACTCTACTTTCAGCGTCTGGCTGGTTAAAGATAAGATAGTAGAGATAAACTTTGACCAAAACCAAAATGATATCTACCTACCTATGTAGTTTATCTGACACTCAAATGTAACAGACTATCCTTGTCTGTGCGTGTATGTGTGCATGTGTGCAGTTTGTCTGAAAGTCAGATTTAACAGGGTATGCTTGTGTTTTGTTTGCTGAATCGGGTTGCCCTGCCTAGAGCTTCTTCTGATTTTCCCACCAATGCATGGAGTAACGTGTTCCCTTTTCCTCCTGACACCTTTTGCCAGTGGTTGGACTGGGTGGTCGCAGCAAGCCCAGTGTGGATGACGGCTTTGTTGCAGTGAGTCTGAAGCCAGACAAAGGTACCGCCAGCCATCCCCTCTGAGCCTCCCTCCCCGCCGGCTGAGCCCGTGTATGCTTCCGCCCTGCCGGCGCTCACCTCTTACCATTTGGCTTTTAGGGAAGAGAACAAACTCCCAAGAAAATCGTAATTATCTGAGACTCTGGACGCCAGAAATTAAATCGAAGTCGAAGAACGCTAAAGATTTACCCAAATTGAACCAGGTGAGTGTGCTTATCCCGTCCCATGGTCTCTATCGTGGAAGCTATTTTTTGCTGTCGTTCATAAATGGAGGATAAATATTCCTCAGAGTAACTCAGGGACTCTCCGTTCATCTGTTTGGATCTCTCTTTGTGCATCAAAAAGACATTATTTACTTTTAAGTAAAAATTTGTTAAAAATTCGATGTGTGCCCAGTTGTGAGAAAACTTGAGTCACAAAATACTCAGTTTTAAGTGTCTACGATTCTTATGCCACTCGCCAAAAGTGCCCTCAGGTGCTCAGATCGCTGTCCCTGGCGAGAAAGGCAGCTGCCGTGGGTTTTCCTTAAAAAGCTGAAGAGGAATGAGGGAGAGATTTTTTTTTAAGCCTACATAATTATAAGTAACTCCTGTAAAGAAATCACCTGATGGGAATGAAGGTCATCTGATGGGAATGAAGGTCATCTGAGAGGAATGAAGGGATTGCTTGCATCTGGGGGCAGAAGGGCTCCGTCACGGGAGAGAACATGGAAGGCCTGTGAAAGTGGGTAGATGGAGGAAATGAGGGTGGGATTTCCTTTTGAACACAGGGGGTGGGGGGAGGGAGGGGGAAATCAGACTAAAAGCAAAGAGGAAAGGAAGAGATTCAGGGTGAACGTGGTCATGAGATTTATTCTCCCGTTCTTCCTATTTTCACAAATGTTTCAAGTCTTCAAATAATTAAAGGGGGGGGGAAGGTTGGAAACCCCAACCAAGAGACTAGAGACATGGCCTCCACTCCTTCCATGGGGGCTTGTGGGGGGCGTGGGGTCGGTGTTCCAGGGGTGGCCCCTGCGCCGTCACGCTGGTGTCGCTTTGCAGGGCCAGTTCATCGAGCTGTGCAAGACCATGTACAACCTGTTCAGCGAGGACCCGCACGAGCAGGAGCTCTACCACGCCACAGCCGCCGTCACCAGCCTGCTGCTGGAGATCGGGGAGGTGGGCAAGCTCTTCATCGCCCCACCCGCCAAGGAGGCCGGGGGCCTGGGCAGCGGACCCCCCTACCCCCCGGCCATGCCCGGCCTGCTCTTCCCCAAGAAGGGGCCCGGCCAGCCCTTCGCGGTGGAGTCCACGGAGCCCCTGCCAACCACGCTGGCCCCGGACAGCGAGGAGCGCTCGCTGGGGGGGCAGATGGAGGACATCAAGCTGGAGGACTCCTCCCCCCGGGACAACGGCGCCTGCTCCTCCATGCTCATCTCCGACGACGACACCAAGGACGACAGCTCCATGTCCTCCTACTCGGTGCTCAGCGCCGGCTCGCACGAGGAGGACAAACTGCACTGCGAGGACATCGGGGAGGACACGGTGCTGGTCCGCAGCGGCCAGGCCGCCCCGGCTCTGGCCGGCAGCACCGGCCTGGACCAGGACTGGGCCATCACCTTTGAGCAGTTCCTGGCCTCCCTGCTGACCGAGCCGGCGCTGGTGAAGTACTTCGACAAGCCCGTGTGCATGATGGCCAAGGTCACCAGCGCAAAGAACATCCGGCTGATGGGCAAGCCGCTGCCCTCCGCCAGTGACTACGAAATCTCCTCCCTGTCGGGCTGAGCGTGCCCACCCGGGGAGAGGGGGCGCCCAGGGGGCTTTTTTATGTTCTTCTGTGCCGGGGTTTCTTTTTTCCTTTTAAATTAAATATTTATTAGTACTTGGCTTAAAGCCTAGTGTTTTCATATATGTAATACTCTGAAAACTGTTGAGATCAACATGGAAACACCTCAGTGCTGGGGGATGTGGGGGCAGCGTATTCCACGAACCACCCCCCCCCGCCCCAAGTCGACTGTCAGTGATATGTGTGTATTCTAGCTTATTCCTCTTCTGTTGAGCTGTATCCATGGATTCAAGACAGACGTGTTTAACTCTCACTGAAGCAGCAGTTGCCTGTGTATCTGGGCTTCTCAATTAAATCCGAGCTGTAAGCGAAATCAAATGTGTCAAGTAGAAGACTGTTCTTAGAAAGAAAAGGGCAGCGTCACTCAGGCAAATCCTCTACCAAACTTGCAAATATTAAAAAAAAAATTGAACCAGTTGCTTGTGGCTCACGCCTGTCATCCTAACGACTCAGGAGGCTGAGATCTGAGGGTCATGGTTCGAAGCCAGCCTGGGCTAAAAAGTCTGCGAGACTCCTATCTTCCCGTGAACTAGCAAAAAGCTTAGAGTTGTGGCTCAAATGGCAGAGCACCACCCTTGAGTAAAAAGCCAAGCAAGAGCTCAGTGCCTTGAGTTCAAAACCCCCAGTACCAGCAAACACACACATACACACACGCACACACACACGCGCGCACACACACACGCACACACACACACGCGCACACACACACCCTAAAAATTATTGTTGAAGATTTGAAATATATTTCCTCCAAGTCCTCCATTCAGAAATAATAATCCACACATGTACCTTTAAGGATGAGCAGGCCAACATTTGGGGTTCAAAGCTGTTAAAAAAGCGTCGGTGGTTTTAGCACGATGTGATATTGGCATAACGCTTATATGTGATCAATTTAGATTGATCAGTTTGAACATTAGGATTTTGCATTAGCAAATGGCTCGGGTGGTTTATATCAGCAGACCAGAATTCTCTGGAAGTGAAGGGGTCTTTGGTTAGAGATTCTCAGGGTGTTCGGGAAGAGGGTGGAGGGCTGGGGTCAGGCTTAGACTAAACATAGGGATGCTTCTGATAACTGGATTTTCAGCTTGTGAGTCCCTGCCAATACACAAAGGGTAAAACAGTCCCCTTTACTACTCCCCCCTCCACAGAGCCCAGAAACCACAGCAGGTACCACGTGAGACCATCTTCCCACCCACCCGCGCCAAGATCCTGTACGTGGAAAAGAAATCCTGCAGGATAACGTAGTAAAATGTTTTCAACAGAAAACTTGTCACTTTATGTAAAAGAATAGTTCCGTCTACTTCCCCCAAGGATGTGGAAATGAAAACTAGCACACCTGCACTTTGAACTTGGCTTTATTATTATTACTACTACTGTGGTTTTGTTTGGAGCAGACACTGGCCATTCTCTTCCTTCTTGTTGAAGTCACAATCAAGCGCTCATTTGTTTTGCTTGTTTGGAATGTTCCTTTGACCACATTCTTATCCATTGTGTTCTTACTTTGTTGCTGCTGTAATTTTTTATTTTGTCGAGGGGTTGATTTTTTTAAACTGTCAAACGAAGTAGAATTAACTTCAAGTAGGATAACTGTGAGCAAATAAAGTACTTCAGATACGGCTTTTGACCTTTGTCCTTGAGTTCCTCTAAGGCAATCACATTTCTACAATAATTTTGCTTGGGAGCTTTTATCACCATTGTGACTAAACTTCATAGGCGAATATGTTGAAATGCAAAGTAAAACATGCAGCATTGCAAGGAATGTGTTTGAAATAAGGAGAATTGTTATCAGTTACCAATGTAAGGAAACAAGAGGGTGAGAATTCATATTTAATCCTGGGAAGAGTCCGTTGGACATTTCCACTGGAGGCTGGCTTTGAACCATGGTCCTCAGATCTCAGCCTTCTGAGTAGCTAGGATTATAGGTATCTGTGGTAAGCAATGGGCTTATTGTGCCTTAGTTTCTTCACAGACCCAGCTGTGGGAACCCTCCCGTGAGGATACCATGATCCCCTGTGACCCAGCAGCCTGGGGGCTCCGTCCTCAGCCTCAGGTGACACGTACTTCCTGTCTCCAGTCAACACGCCGCTCAGGAGTGGCAGCACTCCCGGGAGCCTGGCTGCTGGGCGATGCCTGCCGGGAGAGGGACTCACAGCTCCAAGGACCTCGAGGTCCGCAGGCCTGATTGGGCAGGGAAGGGACGCACGCGGCCAGCCACAGGGAAGCAGGGAGTGTGGGTACCTCGGCGGCCAGACGCTCTGGCAGCCGGCGGAGGGCGGTTCCCCTGCTGGGAGGGATGCTAGGCTTCTCCTCTTTTTCCCGGCTTCCCATGTCCTACTGGGACCTCCGATCTCAGCAGAGCAACCTCGGGAGGGGAGAAGCCTGCACTGGGCGGGGACGCCTAAACTGAGTTAAGCACTCGGTTCCCTCCTGAACTTGACAGTGACACCCAAGGCCAGGGGGCAGCCACCGCCAATTCTCTGGTCCCCCTAACCTAGGGCCCCCCCCCCGAGATGGGGCACTCACCCATCCATCCAGTAAAAAGGCCTGGTCAGAGCAGGACCTTCCAATAGCAGCTAACAGGCTTGAAATGACTCCTTGGAGAGGGAGGGCGTTAGGATCCGGTGCGAGGAGATGCACAGAAGCCCGCACTGCACAATCGATAACAGCTGCGCACCCACAACGTGATTAAGTTGGAATTTGCTGAAGGTTCTGGCAACTTTATTAGAAGAAATTCAAGGGATGGGGAGAGAGAATTTCTAAGTCCCAAAGTCAGTGCTGCAGGACCTAATGTATGTAAAATATGAATAAAGTTTTGCTAAACTTCTCTTGACAAATACACCAGGTGGTCATTTGAGAGTTCTTGTTTCTGAAGAAGTCTTTGAAGTGCAATCAGTTTACTGTAAAGTCTGCAAGAGGGAATGAAGAATGCTGGTGAGTTCTTTGATATTAGTTAAGACCTTGTGCCTTGGTTCAACATATTCTTCGTTTTGTTTTGTTGTCATGGGGCCAGAACTCTGGCCTGGGCATTGTCCCTGAACTCTTCAGCTCAAGGCAAGCAGTCTACCACTTGAGCCACAGGACCAATTCCTGTTTTCTGGTGGTTCATTGAAGAGTCTCACAGGCTTTCCTGCCCAGGCTGGCTTTGAACCAAGATTCTCAAATCTCAGCCTCCTGAGTAGGTAGGATGACAGGCACGAGCCACCAGCGCCCGACTTCAATGTATTCTCAACAGTCTAACTGCATTTAAAAGGGGGAAGGTTAACAGCCAGAGAAAGGGGCACACAGTGGACCCTGGGTGGATCTTGAGGCCTAGAACTGGGTCTCCTGCTGTGGCTCTGTGCAGTTGCAGAGACAGCTGCTGTGCTGCACAGCAGAAGCGGCGTGCCAAGCCCAAAGCCATTCTCATGACCTCAGGATTCTCACATTCGGATTACCCGCCTCTCCTCCGTGTTCCAGGAAGGCCAGAGCTCCGCCAGAGCACTGCCAGGTAGGCAGACACCAGGCCCGCTGGCCTGGAGCGCATCCTCCGAGCCCCACCGGGAAGCCGACATCTTAACCAGACAGACTACGGTGTGGAGGCTTTTCTGACTGAACACCGTGGCTATGGATGTCACTGTAAAAAAAAAAAAAAAAAAACAGTCATGGTTGACGAGAAGCTACGTGGGACAGAGTTGAAAAGGTAAGATTGCTGGAGGAACCCAAGGACCGTGGAAAAGTCTCAATAATGCCCACCCCTTCCCAAACAATCCGCTGTTCACACGCCCACCAATAGGTGGTGCTGCCTCCCTCCCCCTCTCTGAGCTATCGGACCTCAAGTCATTGCGTTCTTGTTCATCTGGTGGATGAAAGTATTTTCATTCAAACTTCTCACATAGCAATGAATATTTCTCATAGCAACAGGGCGATTTTCTCATAGCAGTGGAGCATGCTTGTTCATCAGATCCTTCCATTTGTCCTAACAGCTCAGTGCAATGCTTGGCCTCGCATTCCAGTGTATACTCTTCCTGAGCACCAGGCTTCTGTATAGCTGGTTGTGACAGCAGAATAAAATGAAAGGAAAAGGGGGGATGGATGCAGAATGCAAAGCCTGTCATCAAGGTTGTGACTTACCAGGAGGTGGGTGGGAAACATTTTTAATGGCTTTATTAGTGGCCATTTGTACTAGCTGCAAGACAGGCCCAGCCCAGAGCCTCCCCTGAACAGCCTTAACAGAACCTCAACAACACCTATTCTTCAACCCGCTAGGGGGCGACGCTGGCCTGGAGAGAATTTCCAGTGATGGCATTGGCAAAGTCCACCTTCAGTGTATTCTGGTTGAAGTGTCGTTCCTCTAAACCAAAAGGTTCCCTGCCCTCTGCACTAGAGACGGTTAGGGCAGAGAAGCCAGCAGGGCCTTGGATTCGAGCGTCCCAGACGTCATATTCTCCACAGGAGCTGGACCAGGGCATCTGCAAGGACTGTGCACATTACCCATAAACCCAGGAGGCGTTGGGTAACGACACACACATTACCCAACATGAACTATTCCCAAAGGCGGTCCTTCCTGCTTAAAATAAAATTACCTCTTGGGTTCATGGCCTTAAGCTGGCAAATCCACTCCCAGGGCCCGGCCAAAACCCTGCATCTGCCCAAAAATGCTATCTCCTGGTCACAGCCAGCCATGGCTGGCCAGGCGCTGGCCACCCCCGGGGGCCTGGCCGACGGTCACAGCTCATGAGGAAGGCCGGCGGGTGGAGGCCATGGTGACGCGTGTCACCCACGCCACGCGGGCTCCTGTGGGCCAGGGGGCCTGCCACCTTTGACCTGGCTCTATCTCTCCTGGGCGCTCAGGGGGATGCCTCGCTTCTTTTCCTCTACCCAGTGGGCAGCTTCTGTTGCACCTTCAAATGCTTCCTTGAAGCGCCTCAAGGTCTAAATGAAGCAGATTAAACGGGGGCTCGGTGGTGGTGTTCAGGAGAAGAGCACTTGCTCAGCCCAGACAGGGCCCAGGGTTCGTCCCAAGCAGTGCAGGAAAACTAAGAAGTAAAGGCTGTGGGTGTGGGTGTGACTCAGATATAGAGCGCCAGCCTAGCAAACACGAGGCCCTCAGGTCAAACCCTAGTACTGTCAATAGAAGAGGAAAAGGGGGGGGGGAAGGATGGAAGAAAGATAAAAAGAAAAAATGAAAAAAAGAAAAGGAGGAAGGAAGAGAAAGAAAGAAAGAGAGAGAGAGAGAGAGAGGGAGAAAGGAAGGAAGGGAAGGAGGGAGGGAGGGAACAAAAAAGGAAGGAAAGGAGGGAGAGAAAGAGAAAGAAAAAGAGAAAGAAAGAGAGAGAGAAAGGAAGGAAGGAAGGAAGGAAGGAAGGAGGGAGGGAAGGAGGGAGGGAAGGAGGGAGGGAGAGAGGGAGGAAAGAGAAAGTCAACCAATTCTCAAAAGGATCCCAATGAA